CAACTTTGAACAGATTTGTTCTTCATACTTTACATCGTAACATCACGCATTTAGCCATAATAACACAAAAACCAAACATAAAACTCGAGATATTTTGAAAGGAGGGGAGGGGGGGGGGGGGGTAGAAAAAAGCCCAAAAAGACTTTACCCAATTTTCTTTGAAAGTTTTGACCAAAACAAAGCGTCATTTTTGCCGTGCTCACCCTCAAATTAGCATGTAATCTAATCTTAAAATCACAGTATTTACCCCGTAGTAGCATCTATACTGTTATAAGACTTAAGCTGAGGTTTTTTTAATTAAGGGTTCTTTTTTTCTGATGGCTCAAAAAAAATTTTCTTAGGCTGCTTGGAATTAAATTCAACCTTACATTCGATCAATTTTTCTTGAAATTTAGCCGCCAATCATTTCCCACAATTACGACATGAAATGAAGCGGGTTTATAATTCTTTTCTAATTAAGATCTGGTTGCAACCGCCAGATTTCAATTACTTATTTTGTTTCAAATTTAACACACAATCAGTTTGTTAAGTTGTTTTTGATTTTATCTCTGAAGTAATTGATCAAAAAATTGTCTCGAAAAATGAAGGCCAACCTTGTGATCAGTTTTGGAATCCTCGTGATATGTTGCAGTCTTTACTGCCAAGCTGCTCTACCTGACGTGCATTGCAACATAGACTACGATTGTCCCCAAGGTCACTTGTGCAAAAATGGAGCCTGTAACCGAATCGCCTACTGCACAATGGATCACGACTGCAAAGACCCGACCGAACAATGCTCGGGATATTTCGACAGCCACTATGGCGCATACATAGAAGGCGTCTGCATTTGGACACCGGAAAAGTAAAACGAAAAAAGGCGGGCCGAATAACCAAACGACACGACAAGAATTTACTTTCACAAGCCGACAAAACAGAACTTTCCAAAAATGGAATGTCAGCTGAGAGAAATTTCATTCAATCATATGATACAAGAATGAAAAAAAAACAGCTTAAACTTATTTTTTACTTTGACTGAACTTTTAATATTTTTCATTAGTGTCAATAATTATGTTATATTTATGCTGAATTCTGTTTAAATAGATATGAAACGAATTGCTGAAGAAAAATCTACCTTGCATTTTTTAGGGCTGTTCAGGCTCTGATCTTGATTTTTTGGGGGGTTTTAAGTTTTCTTTTTTATTATCAACTCAAGGTCAGTTTTCCTAAATTCTGAATCACCACGGAAATTGATTTAGCCGTTGCCAATTTCTTGAAAACATTCGGAGGCAACTGTTTCATCTAGCTTTTTTTGTGGAATATTCTGCGAGAAAAATTAGTGAGAAAAAAGTACGATAATGAATTCGTCTGAGACTTTCCTAGACAACTAAGTGATTTAGGGTTTTGAACAGACAATTTCTTTGTATGAGGAACTCTCTCAGAAAATCATCAATGTAGACCGTTTTTTTTATTGCACAGCAGCATCATCAGCACTGAAAACAAAACCACAAAGTACACATCTTATCAGTGTACAAAATTTACTCAAAAACAGCATCAAGGCTGTTTTATCCGGGACAAAAAACTGTTGATGAAAGTCCTGAAAGTCCAAAAAAGTCCTGAAAGTTCAAAAAAGCCCATATAGTTATTTATATTCTATAAAATCACAGGACGTCTTAACTAAAGGCTTGATTGGTTTGAAATTCTCATTGGTCAAGCAATGTTATATATAATAAAACGACATAGGTAGAGTAACAAATTTTCAACTGACTTAGCATCAGCTCTACAAACACCAGCAAAAATCGAATTGGTCGTTTTGCTCCAAGCAAACAGTAGATTAGGGCCAATCATGCCGCCGTAATTGCTTAGTGATATGTTTTTGAATAATAAATAAAATTCAGATATTGGTAGAAAAGCCACTGGAAGCGGGAGTCCGAAACATTGCTAGTTTTCTATGATCTTTCTTGCTGTTTTGGACTTCGGGAACAAATAGCCAACACTGTATCGCTAAAGTCTTTTTCAAAAACGGGTGAGTTTGCGCAAATAGCAACAAAACGTGATGATTCCAGACAATTCTCCGGAATCCAAAAGCAAATTATTATGTATTTGTTAGCAAAATTACACTCTCGCAGAACTGGCAACTGTACGCGGAATCCGCAAATTACAAACGCAATCCGCTAAAAATAATTGGAATAGAGTGGAAAAAAAACTTACATTTTGCAGCAAGTTTGAAGACTTGTCTCTGAAATCTAGTGACTTACAAACACCCAATTGTTCGCTTATCCAGTACACAGTTTGCTGTTGTCCTGATTAGCTCAAAAATCTTGCTTGCCCTACCCAGCAGATTTTCTATACAAGATTTCAATTTTTTTTAATTTTTTTTTCATACGTTGATTCTCTGATCTAAAATCATCATTTCAGATCATTGATGGCAATTAACAAAATTCAGTTTGGAATTTTCTTTGTTAGCTGAAAAATTTCAAGTTTTTGAAATTATTTTGAGCATAAAAATAAAGAAATTTTCAAAATGATCTACCATCGGCTCTACAGACACCAAAAAAAAAAATCAAGCTGGTAATTTTGCCTAAAGAAAACAGTAGATTAGGGCGAATCATACAGGAAATGCTTGCTGAGCTGTTTTTTTTCTATTGAATAAAATTCAGAGCTTGTAAAAAAGTACCACTGGAAGTGGGATTTCGCAACATTGCTAGTTTCTGTTGATCTCCCTTGCTGTTTTGGATTTCAGGAACAAATAGCTAACATTTTTCCTCTCAAAGGTTCTCAACAACAGGTCAATTCCAGATCTCGAAAACAGGCCATTTCTGTGGAATCTTTTATAAGTTATCATGTATTTGTGTAGCGAAAAAACACTCTCGCAGAATTTGCAACTGTACGCGGAATCCGCAAAACAATCCGCTAAAAGTAACTAAAATCCGCTCACTGTTGCGGTTCCCGCTTATAATTTGCTGAATATATAACAACTAGCTATTCATTTTGCATTTTTCAAAAAGTTTGAAGATTTGTCTATGGGTTCCAGTGACTTAAAAACCCCAATTGTTCGCTTATCCAGTGCACAGTTTGGCCTCGTGTTGCTGAGCTCAAAAACTTTGCTTGCCCGTAGCCACTGGATTTTTTTTTACAAGATTTGAACATTTTTCTTTTCATGCGTTGATTCTCAGGTCTAAAGTTCATCATTTCATTGAATACAATTAACAAAATTCAGTTTAAAATTTACTTTTTTTGTTCAAAAATTTCAAACTTTTGAAATTTTTTTGAGCATAAAATTTATGAAATAGTTTAAAATGACTCAGCATCGGCTCTACAAACACCAGAAAAAATTCAAATGGGTCATTTTGCCTCAAAAAAAAGATTAGGGCCAATCATACCGCGGGAAACGTTTGCTGAGCAACTTTTGTTTTTCAACTAAATTTCAGATCTTGTATAGAAAATCCACTGGAAACGGGGATACAATAACTTCTGCTGTTGACGCACAAAATGAAAACTCATCAAAATTGTTAATATCTTTTGTTTGAAATGTTAGGTGAGCTGACTTGAGAGTAAAAAGTCGTTGTAACGAAAACTGTTTTTTCTCCATTTTCTCCACTTTTTTAAGAACATCCTCAAACCGTTGGTATCTTCCATTGGTTTTTGGCGTTCAAATTTTTTCATGTTGTATTAGATTCGCCATTTCTCATTCCTTGTATTGAAATTTCTTGACAGCAACTTGGGACGGATTGGATGCAGAATGGCGGAATAATTTTTGGCCACAAATTTACTTTTCCCGAATGTGGCTGTTTCACACGCTATTTACCTGCAACCAACCAGAACCAAAACTGAAATAGGCTGTTGAAAGATGTTTGATCAATATTAATGATGAATGTTATTTTTAGATCATATTGAAATTGAACCTTAAAAATCAAAGTTCAAAAGAAAACTCATTCAGACATTGAACAAACAGAACAAGCAATACTGAAAGAAAAGTGCAACACGAAGTTTGGATAGAACTCTGAAAAAACAAGACTCTTAGAAAAATATCCAAAAGGGCAATCAATTTTGTATTAAAACGAGGAAACCGTTTATGTGTACCAAGCAGATCAAAATAAAATTTAAAAAAAAACGAGAAATTAGATCTGAACTAACCCATTCTTAAATTACCCAATCGTAATTTTAACATTTCGGAATCTATTCATAGATTATTTCAGATCATCTGAATTAGAACATTTACTGATGAGAGTATTTGAACGGTTTTGGAGCTTTTTTTCCCAAATAAGAAGCCGAAGTGAGGGGGAGGGGGAGGGGGAAGCCGTCGACCGTAAAAATAAGATAGCTTTCAATCGTTAGAATGAAGTTGCTGAAAGTCGCGGGTCATTATGGTTCTCAAACTTACTTGTATCCTTATGGATTCCCATCATTTTTTGTCTAGTAAATTTGAATCCATTTTGTAGACCGGGCTATGAACCCTACATTATGAATTCATCACTTGAGCTTTAATGGATTACGTTATTACATTTTTGTTACATCAGTATTCCAAAGCATTTGAGTGTTTTTGGAAAGGCAACTTGTATGCAAAAAATGAGTTTTGCAAAAAATCAAAAGGTGAAAAACGAAAACGAATTGATTTTTTTTGAAATCGAATTCATTTCTCAGTGAAAGAAAGGATATTTAGTTTCTCTTCTGAGCTTATAACTTTTTCAATGTCTGCATTATCTTACTTGTCTAAAACTTTTAATTGGTTGTCTGGACAAATTTACTTTTTGGCCACTTTTGGAAAATTTTGACCAAACTTTTTCGTTTTGCGACGCATTACTCTCATTAAAGAAAAAAATTAACAAAATGACACCTCAAATACTTGAGATTTTGAACTTTAAACAAACAAAAAAACGCAAAACCTGTGGGTTGTTGGTGGTGGTTTTTGTCTTTGAATTGCTTTTTATCAAAAACTCGCGATACTCATGTTGCTTTATATTTGATCCGTCGTTTCGAGAGCTATCTGAGATCAATCAAGCGTGTCAAATGCGTACCATTAAACCGCGTTGTGGTTTGCAAACCGTCTTCAATAACCGTGTTACATTTTTTCTTCTTATGATGACGAAGCTAAACCGTTGTGACAATTTGTAATTTTGTTTTCAACAGTCTGTTATAATATGGCAGATAAAAATAAATAGTAGTCGTAAAAAATCAATCATTAATATTTTCAGACTTGCTAGATTAGGTTTTACAGTTTCAACAAACCACAATACTGATTGTATATTATTACGGTTTAAAAATTTATCGAACACTTTTTCAGTTTTTGGCGAATATTGACCAAAATTCTGGACCAGAGTTACTTCAAACCTGTTGAATGTTTAATCAATAGCCTTTTGCCGACTTTATTTGCTGACCAAATTTTTAAACTATTTAACCTCGCAAAAACTTCTTTTAATTTAACTTGTCGATTAATTAATCGACTCATCGATATCCGGTTTAGTTTAAGAATATATCCCATAACTTGATGCCCCAAAATGGTAGAAACCGTTCAGAATAAAGAGAATGATCCTTCCAAGACGAAGTTGATTGAGTCGAACTTAGGTTCGAATCCGGACGAAGCCGGAGCATTCGGGAAGGCAAAACAGATGAGTCAGGTACCAGTCACAGCTGCCCACACAAAACAACTGCAGAAACAGAGCAATCAATTGTACAAACAATCCAGGTGTGAAACAATTTTCAGAAAGTTTAAGTTTTATGGCTATCGCAGCTAAAGTGATCCGACAGAGACTTCCAAAAACTACTCGAATTTTTCAAAAAAATTATTCGTTAAAACTTCAAAAACATTTTCAAAAATTACTCGTGAAATTAAAAAGATTTCACGAAACCGACATAAAAAACTCAAAAAAGTTTCATTTCTAATGGCTAATCAAGGGTTGCATTGTCAAATATTTTAGCCGCAAAAACCATTTTTTTTAAAGCATGTAAGTTACGTCGCAAGATGAGGGTATCAAATAGAAACTAAACTATTCCTACATAAAAAAAATTTGGTAAAAATTATGCTACAATTTAACTGTTCTGCTAAATGAAACACGAATATAAAACGCTATTTTCCAAAATTTTGAAAGGTCAGAATAGGAAAATGCTTTAAGCTGATAAAAATCCTCACAATTTAAATTACTATTCAGGGTATTCAGTGCTACAATTACTGTCTTAATTGGTTCGCTGTTGCAGGATTTTATAACCTAATTAAATGCTAGTCATTTAAGTTAACTTTTGAAAGTCGGATTTTCTTATAATAAGGCAAATGCATTTTTCAAATTTTTAGCCCGGACCTGAAAAAAAGTTTGCCCCCAGTTAAGGGGACTGGCTGAAATTTCTCTGCCTTGAAAATCAATTAAAAAAGGATAGGCGTCAGTCTTTTTTGCGAACCTAACAAAAACCCCTTAAACTAGCTAGTATCAGGTGCAAATCAAATAGACTGTTAATAAATATTTGATTTTTAATTTAAAATCAAATAAACTGTTTTTTTTCGGCGGAAACGAAAATAATCAAGAAAAAATCTCTGAAATCTGGATAAAATGCATGATTTTCGGCCATGTTTTGCTGAAAATTAAGCCGAAGCCGACCTCAATTTTTAGTGCCAAATTTTTTCCATTTGGTCTCTCATTTTTATTTTAACATTTACATTTTATCTCTCATTTTTATTTTTTTTTATTTTAATTTTTGTTGTACCTTTTACGATAATAAAAGCTGAGTAGGTTATAAAGTCCTGACACAGCAAAACAATTTAAGACAGTAATTGTATTACGGAATACCTAAGACACTGACAGACGAGTAAATTAGATAAATGGGTCAGCGGGTCAATCATCATTCTAGACTCCAAAAGCAGTCAGATGCTCAGATACTTTTGTGTATAACCATCAATTCATGTATTTTTGTGAATATCGTTGGAGCTATATCTAGGTCGATAAGATCTATGGTTCAAGGAGAGATTAATGGAGATTACTAAGAGAAATGCCAAAAGAAAGCACTATTATCTTTTTACTGTTCGACCATTTGAAAAACTTTGTGTTCAGGTGTGTTTTAGTTTCCTTCTATTTATTTTTTGTTTCTTTTCACGCAAAATTGCTAATTTTCATCAAATATTGCGCAAAAAACGTATAATTTGGGCGAACCTCGAACAAAGTATGCTCAAAACAAGCCTTTATTTGCAGTTTACAGAAAAAGCAAATCTGCTTTTATTTTCAACCATATTTAAATTGGAAAGGAATTTTGTTACAGGGAGTGTTTTAGTTTTTTTTTGTTTTTTCAACTTTTAAAAAAATTTTCTTTATGTTTTCTAGTCGATTTTCTGCAAAAGTTGTTGTGCAATTTGCCTATTTTACTATGTATGAATGTCGAATGCCTAAATTGTCGTTTTTCGTTTAGATCATTTTATCACATCATTCAGAAAAACTATCCTTTTTTTCAAAACCTTTTTGGATTTTTTTAAGACTATGGCTACACTTGTTTAAAATCAAATCTGTTTTTCCGAAATTAAGGTTTTTTCTAGGTTTTCGAAAAAATGGTTAATACGAAGCTCTTGCTTGAGCAATAAAATAATCAATCAAACAGGTGTTTTTTTTTAGTTAATTGCGTTTTTGACACGGTTTAAACACGGTTTGCTACGTAATGCAATAAGTGAAAAATTGATATGCGGCGTCAAAATGAGCTGTTTTAGGTTAACTTATTTGACTGAAAGGAATCGATATTGTCAACAGTTTGCCATTAACTAAACAAGCAATTTCGTTTTTTCTTTAGAAGCTCATTCGATAAAGAATTTCTCAAAGCAATTCGGAACAGCAAGAGCGCGCCTCCAAATGTATCGGCCCAAATGATACCTCTAGAAATAATTCTGGACAAGGAAGAAGGGAGCAAGGGTCGGGCCAAGACAGGTGTGGAAAAGAAGGATCTGCTGCTTGGGGATTCGGGGGACTCGGATGACGAGAGTGAGACGATGGATGGGGCGACGGCTGAGGGGGGAATCGACAATGCCAAGTAAGAAGACATGGCTATTACAACCTAAACTCAAAATTTTCGTATCAATCATATCATAGTTCATTAAAAATGATTCAACGCAAAAGTATTCTCTAAAACAGTCAAATTATTCTGAATAATCTTCAGAAGAATTTTTAATTGGGTTTATTTAGTGTTTTGAGAAAAACTCACAATGTTTATTTTGGTTAGTGGGAGGGTAATAAATTGATTTATAAGTTTTAATAAATAAATAACAACAGCTGCAATAACGTAAAAATCAGAGATTAGATTGGAATTTCAGTATCTGTGCAGTAGCGGATTTGGTACGGGTGGGGGGGGGGGGGTCGCTTGATTTTAGGGATTTGACCCTCTCACCACTCAAAGTGTCCAATTTTGTAATAATTTTCACTTTAATTTTGGTCACAAACCCTGAAATTTTTGAAAACACGTCCTCAATACCAATTTATATTAATTTTAGGCGGGAATTCGGTCCGAAAATTCCAAAAAGTGCCGAGAAAATTCCAAAAAGTTTGGTCTGTTCATTTTTTGTCTCAATCTTTCTTTTCAAGAAATAAAAAAATGAAATTAAAGGTTTGAAACTTGTTGAAGGCCAAGACTGAATTTTTTGCTACATATTTTTTGAATTCAAAGTCGTATGTTTTTAGGATCAACCCTACTATCCCACAATCACCAAATCACCAACCCCCCTCCCCCTAATGCATCAACGGTAGAGTGCCCCCCCCCAAGCAAACAAAACAGTTGAATGCAAAATTTTACAATTCAGACAGCATAAAAATAAGTGATATGATTACAGATATTATCAAAGCAGTTGTTATTACAACCATATCGAACACGCCACATTAATTCTTGAAGATACCAAGGTAAAAAAAAGTTCTATGACATCCAATTATTTTTTCTATCAGATTTTTTCTGATTCCAATACGATTCAACATGTTGAGTGGGCACGCCGGTCAAGGGTTCTTCAAAATTTACCGAGTGATTCACAGTCCTGTGGCTAAGTCCTGCCCGGGAAACTGCGTTGTTCGCTTTCCATCCATCTGAATGTACAACCGATCCGGGCTCAACTACGGCTATATTAATTGGAAGTAGGGTATCAGTATCTCGGCTATCCACTATTTCAATATAGCCGATTGCAGGGCGAATACTTAAGTCAACAATAGCAAAAAATCATATTGGATTGTGGGGGCTCGACTACGGTGACTTTTTGGGTTTTGGGAAAAAAAAACAATTTTCTTCAGTATGTACAATAACTCCCGGTCCTCCAAGCCGAATAGGCTGTTTTTTCAGCCATTCCGCACACATTTCCCGAAGACCTGCAAAGGCATTCGTAATCGTCTTGTCGTTGGGTCCAGTTTGTATGGACAGGAGATAACTATAATGTAACCATTTAGGCAAAGACAATTTAGAATTTTCAAAACAATTGCCGTTTCGGATTGAAATTGTTTTAAAAGCTCGAACAATTTCGGTTTTGGCAATTCCAAGCATAGCCGTCCTTGCCTTTTTGTATTTTGTCCAAAAAAGTATTTTATTACACTTGCTACAGGCTTTTGAGCAAGCAATCAATCCCAAATGCTTTGAATGCAAAGTTCTTTATCATGTAAGCAAGGCAATTTTTCGTCGTCAAAATTCATCCTCTCGGTTAATTGAATAGTTGAATGAAAATATTGATTCAATTTTTCCTCAAAGTTAGCGGTCAAACATTTCTCGTGTTCTGATTGGCTGAATTACCTCGGCGTGCGAAAAAACTGGGGAGGATATTCTACCAACTGTACATTTTCCCCCTATTTCGATTTGGGGGGGGGGGGGGATTCCTGTTTTTACATAGTTCTTTTTGGAAAAAATGTATTATTATAGGAAAGAGTTAATTGTGAGGGTTTTGTGTTAAAAATAACTCAAATGGTTTTAAAGCTCGTTGACCAGCTATAATTTTAGAAGAAAAATGTACTTCTTAAGAAGGCCACAACAACGGTTCTCCATGACGAGCTGAACAGCTTCTAGTTTGGTCCTTTCCCTTGTGAATAAATTGTTTTATCTAACAAATTAGTCAACCAAAAAGAATCAAGCAGTCGGCCATTCTTAATGAGTATAGTAGTTTTGACATGCGTAACCATCTTAGGTCTTTTCAGAGGCGGATCTACGATTTTCTCGAGGGGGGGGGGCGGATTTTCAAAACAGTTTGAAAATTTTATCGATTTTTTTTAGGTCGACCAAAAGGATTTCGAGGTCTCCCAAAGCACTAAAAAGACCTTGTTTTGGCCAAAATTTCTGCGCGCTCCCCCTTAAAGTTAGTATATATAGGCGCCTTTAGAAAAATTTTAGGGTCGGTCGGCCAAAAATGGATATCTCAAAATAGTACAAAGATGGGACCGTCTTTTTTTATTCCGCACAATTTCTTACATTTTGAAATTGTGTAGTTTTCATTGTTTAAACGCAGAGAACAAAACACTGATCGCATTGATTCGTTTAGTTGGTACAAATGCGATGGTTTACTTTCTTACCCGAATTCTAACTAGGCTGAATTTTCAGCTGATGTTAAAAAATGGCAGTTTTTGTTTAGCTTTTTTCTGTGATTTTTTCTGGTCTGGGTAAAGCTCTGCAGGTTATTTGAAACAAAATAATTTTTTTTAATACTTCGGCTGATTTATATGTGGACTTAAAACTGGGAACAAAACAACATTTCGAAATGGTGCTGAAATTTGATTGGCTAGTTTTAGCCAATCAAATGGAAGCAAAATAGTTTCTTTCCAATATGTTGAAACTATGATTTAGCAGAGACCCACCATTTTTTGGTGCGTACCCACGGAGCCGCATTCCCGGATAGCCGAAAAAACTAAATACCTCCGGTTTTATTTAAATTAAATCAGAAAACTGTTCACTAAATTGAGGCGCATTTTGATTGGACAAAAAATTTTGCAGCCTGTTATAGCTAACAAAATTCCGAACATTTTTAAGAGATTTGATTGGCTAATACTTTTACTCTCATTGAATTAATTAACAGCAAAAGTCCGACTACTACAGGGATTCGACCCCTTCAACAATCAAAGCAGAGGAAATTCTCGAGGGGGGATTTTCAAAAAAGGGATTCGACCTCCCCCCCCCCCCCCTAAATCCGCTACAGAACCAAAGCAGGGGCGGATTTAGGGGGGGGGGGGGGGTGGGGGTGGTTGTAGTGTCGTTTGCTTTTCAGGGATTCGACCCCTTACCGACATATTTGGCGCCAATATATTTATCAAAATTTTCCCCTCGAGAAAATCCTAGATCCGCCCCTGCATTAACATTATAATCGTTTATAATTTCGGTTGAGGGCCCTCAATAGTTTTTTTTGTTTGTCGGGAGGGGGGACATGGTGGGGTAAATGTGCGTAGGGGTTATGGGTAATTGGGAGGAGGGGAAGGGAGTGGGAAGGAAGAATGAACGGACTAAGAGTGTGTGTGTGTGTGTGTGGGGGGGGGGGTGTTGGTGGGTAGAGAAAAAGGGTATTCGAATTAAGAAAACAATGTTTTTAAGTAAGTTTGTAGGATCTCTTCAGTATTTCCTTCCTATGGTACCTAGTAACGAATCTCTCCACCCCCCCCCCCCCCCCATTAAGAAATGGGTAAGAGGGGTAGAAGGGAGGGGATAATTGTTAAGTAGATCCAAAATCTCGGCTATCCGGGAACTAATTTATTTTTCGGCTATCCGGGAACGAATTTATTTTTCGGCTATCCGGGAACGAATTTGTTTTTCGGCTATCCGGGAACGAATTTATTTTTCGGCTATCCGGGTATTCGGCTCCGTGACACGCCACCCATATTTTGTACCATTATGAGCCGTGACTTTGATAAATATGCTTCAGCAACAAAGCCGACAACTCGGGTGACAGCAAAATGAAGGACAAGGACAAGTTTGACCCCTCTACGCGACTGCCCCTCTGGGAAGAGTTCCCCTCCCTTTCAGCAGAAGAGATCCAAACTAAGCTGGAAAACACTTGGACACAGGTGAGTGTGTAGATGTTACTCAATTCGAGTTTTCCATTTTATATTTCGACCGGCCCGACCAAAAATCCCTATATTTTGACCAAGTTTGACCAATCCAGATTTGTTTTGACCCAGTTCGTTTTTATTTTTCGACTATAGGCCTTGCGCGACTATGAAGTTATGGTCCAACTTTGATATCTGCTTTGCAACTTCGGTCATATCATTAAGTCGAAACCTCAGCCTGGGTACTGTAATAGAGGGAGGGGGGCTTAATAAGGCAAAATTAAAAAGCTGAAACAAGACAAATTTTTGACCATAGAGTTTGTATTTTAGCTGCAATCATACCTATCGTAAAAGCGTTGCATACTTTTACACGCTCTATTAAGCACGCTTTAATCAACAGCAAAAAATTACCACGACAATTGATCCAACGTGTTGCGATCTTGCTTATAGAGGGTAAGGACTCTTTATGAGATATAGAGCTCATTATCGCCACGAAGCGGTGATTTGCTCTTCCAACAGCGACCTTAAGCCGACTACCGGCTCTAGAGTATTTGACCGCTACTTTTATGCAAACGATAAAATTATTAATGCAAACCTAAAAGTTAATAACGCAAACAGCAACTTCTAGGTTGAAAACTTGCCTAAATTTTTCTTTTTTATTTGTGCTTATTATATATTTCGCCTAATACAGTGCTGATATAAATTATCCAGACAGAACGGAAAAAATTTAAAATTTCAATTACGTTTTTCTCAAATTGAGTTAGGGCTAGACAAAAAGTGAAGATCAATAATTAGCACAACAGTCTAGAAAACTAAAGGTATGGGGTTCGAGCCCCACCAGGAGATTTTTTCCAAGCTAAAAATAGCCTAGATTTAGCTAATTTCTGATCAGAATGAAGATGAGAAACAAAGAACTTAAAGAAAATCCCTGCATTATTTAAACATTTCTAAAAGAATTTCTGACCAGAAATTAGATTAGATATTAAGTATTTCAGGTCAGAAATAAAGAATTTTCTCGGTACGGGGAGATCAAAAGTTGCCTTGAATTCCACCAGAATTAACATTATTACTCAAAATTACTTAATGGTGGTTGTTATCATTTGGAAGGCTTGAATCTAAAACTTTTCATCAATAAAAATCGTATAAAACAAACGTCTTCCTATTCGGAGAACACTTTATGCAGAAAATCAAGCGCAAAAATGAGAGGTTACAAAAAATCCTCGAAAGTGGCTTAATTGTGGGCGCTGCAAACCGCCAGGTGTTTTCATACGCAGTTTGTATCTCGGCTCTGGCAAGCTCGCAATAGGTATCAGCCTGATTGCATTATTCGCTGGTTTTTTATTCGACCATGCTTGATTTGGTTTTTCTAAGATCATTACGAGGCCAAACTGTGCACTGGATAGACGTACAATTTGGTGTCTGTAGTTTAGTGGAATCCGGAGACAAGTCTTCAAACATGTTCCAATTTTATTTAGAAATTTTAAATGGATTCCGCGCATTACTTTTCTAACGGATTCCGTAACCATCAAATAAAGATAGTTTTTGCGGATTCCACGAAATCAGACGATTTCCGCAAAATGTAAGCGAATCACTTTCTGTATAGCGTTTGCAATTTGCGAATGCTCATATCTGTTGTTTTTTAAATATGATCTTTTTCAAAAGTAACTCGACGTTACGTAATATAAGACAGAGCTTACCTGGGCTTTAGATGTTCTTTGCTCATGGGCACAAAAGTTCTTAAAAAGTACTTAAATTGCGTGACAACGCGCCACATAATTTCATAGCCTTTCCCACACTATATCAAAATCATAGGATGGAAAAGCACAACTCTCAGCTCGCAGAAAAAAAAATCATTTTCTGCCCCGGCAAACTTTTCGCAACTTCTTGTTTTCATTTAATTTTGTAGTTTTTTCAACATATAGTTAGTTCAGTGCCGTGTGTAGGCGGGAGGAGGTACCGCCCTCCCCCTTCCTTTCCTCAAATCTGGCAGCCAAATTCCCCATATTGTGCTTTTCTCAACGGTAAAATTGTAGTTAAAATACACTTTTTTGGGAATGAAAGGTGAACACGCGCTTAAAAGAAACAATCATCTTGCAACTAGAGACCCTATCTTTTTCCAAAAATTTTCACAGTTTTTGAAGCATAGTATGTGCAAAACATGCGCTAGGCAATGTATCAATTATAGTTAGTGCTATACTGTTCGGTAAAATCTTTTCAGTCAATGAATTTGATTATAATTAATAACCTTAAAATTGCTCATTTTGACAACATATTTGAGTATATCACTAATTCTCACACGTAAGAAATAAATGGAAATTTAGATTTTTCAGACAAGCTTGAAATCAGAAAACGGTCTGAAAAAAAAATTGTTTGCAAATTTTACGAAATTGAGTTAGTTGCTTTTTTGATGAATTTCTTCTAACCAATGTTTTTGCTAATTTAGTGCTGGTATTAATTATCCGGACAAAACAAACAAAATTTGAATTTAAAAATGCATTTAAGTATTTTCTCAATTTGGTTTGAGATGAAATAAGAAAACATAAGACAAATTTTGCTTAGAGCATCAGCAGATTTTTTTAAACAATTTTTGGGACCAAAATTTCAACCCAAAAACGTATCATTTGTGGTTTTTCAGTCAACCAAAATTTTGCCAAAAGTACGAGGTCAATTTCTGACATATTTAAATCAAAGTAGGCCTCGTGCTTAGTCCAACAAATTGTAAAAGGGGTGCATTGTCCAAAATACTGTATAAATCAATAATTTTTGTGTGATAGACAAAAAATATCGTTTTTAGAACATTTTTTGAAAGTTTTGAGCAATATTTTCTGCAGAACAAATTACTCTTGAATGATTCTGCGTAAAAGGCTCACTTTGATCTAATTATGTCTGTAACTGACTAAGTAGTTAGCCGTAACTTTTGCTCCTCTAAAAAACCAAAAGTGATTAGTTTTTAGGGTTTAGAAATTTGGTCCCGAATTTCGCAACATAACGGCACCATAATATTTTGCGAAAAATTCTAATCAGGGGCGGATTTTGGGGCGGGAGGCGGACGTCGTTTCTGTAGGGATTCGACCCCCTCATCAACCGTTGATATTATTCTATGACATCAATTTTCGGATTTTGGGGCGGGAGGCGGACGTCATTTCTGTAGGGATTCGACCCCCTCATCAACCGTTGATATTATTCTATGACATCCATTTAAACGCCAATATATACTAGCTTTGAAGGAAAACGCGCGCCGACAAAACGCAAATTTTTGTTCAAAGTTTTCCAAAAAGTGCCCAAAAGCGGCATTTTTTACAGGTTTTTTTTTTCAAAAAATTTCCCTCAGCGAAAAAGGTTTTGTCAAAGTATGGTTTTTATAATGTTCTGGGAGCGCTAGGAAAACCAATTTAGTCGACCTGAAAAAAAAGTAGAAAAGTTTTGAAATTTTTTTGAAAAACCCGCCCCCTCCCCTCGATAAAAGTTTAGATCCGCCCCTGATTCTAAGCCTTTTTGTCTCCATCTTCACTCCTTCCTCTCTCCATTTTCACCTAAACTCAACCCAATGGGAGAAAATGCGTTTTAAATTTCAAGTTCTATTCGTGCGACCGGATAATTGAATTCAGCTCTGTAGTCGTATACAAAATATAGTAAAATATGTTTGGGTTATAATTTGACAGGTGTCGATGACTCTGTTGACGAGACCCCAGTTCCAGAGCCAGAGGGAACGAGTTACGGAGTGGCTTCAAGAAAGAGGTAACCAGAACCCAATCACCACACACCCCATCGTGGATATCATCTGACCCTGAATTGTGAAAACTGAATGTCGGATCTCTTAAGCTGCACTCCCCCCCCCCCACCCCTCCAACTCCCCCTATGGTAATTAGTAACCAATCTCTCTCCTCCTACAACGAATTATTTTAACGGTTAAGTGTATGTGATTTTGGTTGTACCTAGCACCGAATCCCCCCTCCCCGCGGTCAAAGAAGGAGGGGGGTATAGTTGAAGAGATCCCAAAATGTCGATGTAGATAGACACACAATAACAATTCAATTGATGTGAACTATTTTCCAAACATACGTTTAAGGCTCTTTTTCCTTCCGCTCCCACTAAGATTATTGTTTCAAACTTTTTTCACGTCTTCTTAGTGTGATGAAAAAACCACCGGTCAATAAATATTGTGAAACAATGAAGGTTTAGCACTGGTGAATAAATACAGAAAAAATGAAGTATCCGTTCATAACTCACAACCTTGAAAACCTCCTGAACAATTCGTTATACTTAAAATAATTTTACGACTTGGGCGCGAATTGGAAAAAGAGCCAAGTTAAGTTGTTGTTAACCATTTCTAGTTAGTTTAATTTAAATTGCATATATCGATAATTCAAGTTGACATTCGTTTTTTTTGAAGTTTTATCGTGTATTTAAGTTTATTAGGCTATTTTTTGCTCGTTTTTAAGAGTCTTATCGTGCTCTTAAGTTTATTAGGCAATAATTTTTTCTTTTATTTGGAGTTTTAGCTTGTCCTTAACCTGATATTTTTTCCATTTTTTGTTTAGAGTTTCTATAGAATCATGTTGACCTCTAAGCGCAAACCTTCGAAAGAATAAATATTTGACTGGTTCCGATATTACTCTCGAAAATTGTTCTGAAAAAATCAAGACTGCGCCTGAGATATATTCGAAATTTATTGCATCACATCTTTTTTTTACTGTACCGGGTTTTGCCAATATCATGTATTATTATTTTTTTAAATTATCTCGAAGACATCAATAAGAAAAGTAACCAATTCATTACAGTTAAATCATTCTGTAAACCAATATCGATATAAATGAATCAGTTAAAAAAGTGAAGTAGTTTTGTTTCGACTTTCGAAGATTTGTGCTCGTGATATTTTTTCTCTAGATTAATTTCGACTTTTTAACTTATTTACCATTATTTACCAATTATCTTTACAATCTGAAAAATATTGATGCCCAGACTTCAGATGAAATTTCAACCGTAACAGTTCTTTTGCCAGCCTGGGATACTTAATGCGCGCTAAACAGGGGCGGATTTAGGGGGGCGGGCGGGCGGGCGGGCGGGGGGGCTTACGCTTTTCCACCCTTCAGGGATTCGACCCCCTGCCGACCCAAAGGGTGCCCCTTTGTACTATTTTGAGATATCCCTTTTTGGCTGAAAGACCATAAAACTTTTCTTAAGGCGCCTTTGGCGCCAAAATATACTTATTTTAAGGGGGGAGCGCGCGCCAAAAAAACGTAATTTTCTGTTTTAAATTTTCCAAAAAGTGCCCAAAAACGCCTTTTTGGCCTGTTTTTTTTTCAAATTTTTGCCTGCGGCACAGAATTTTTGGCCAAAAAAGGGACTTTATAATGCTTTGGAGAGCTCTCGGAAAACCAATTTGGTCGACCTAAAAAAAAGGTCGATAAAATTTCGAAAATTTTTGAAAATCCGCCCCCCCCCCTCTCGAGAAAATCCTAGATCCGCCGCTGAGCCTAAATGAAGCGTTATATCACTTTAGCCTTCACGTTTTGTGTGTGGAGAAAATTTGTCAACAGAGAAAATCAAAAACAATTTTTCAATCAAAAATTGTTTATTTCACAAATTGTTTTTGGACATGCATGGATTTCTTCGTTTAAGGCGAGAAATCAAAATGGTTGAAAAAAAAACAGAAAAAAAACACCTGTTTTGTTCGAAGACTTTGAATTTTTCATTTTCAACAGCTTCCGGTCAGATTTTCTCAACGAAAGTGATCGTTAATTATTCAAAAACAGCGAATTTATGGTTTAAAACCAACTTTACAAAAACCAAACAAAAATGACGAAGCGCACTGACGATCGATCGGCTCTCGTTCTATCGGGGGAAAATGTCAAGTCGTCCCGCGGTGGCTCAGCCGAGAAGAGGAGCTCAGTTGGCGATCACCTATCCGAACGAAGTTCCAAATCGCCTCCCAACTCGGACAATTCCAGAAAAAACTCCAACCTGAAAGGTCAAATTTTTTCTGATGACAATGATGGGAGTAAAACATTGCAAGAAGAGCTGCTACGTCAAGCCGAAGCGCTGGAAGCCGAAGAAAAAGCGAGAAATGAGAAAAACAAGAACTCGATTAGACGGAAGATACAGAATGTAGTGTTTAAAACTGTGGCGCTGATTATAGCAGTAGGCGTTGTGGGACTGTGCGTAGTTTCGGCTGTTTTGTCGATTAAAAAACTGTTGGACACGAAAGATAAGCCGACATCTACTTACTCCCAGAAGTTGCTAGGGGGACCCTATTTGACACCAGGTATAAATTAGTTATAAAATCGATTTCACTTTTGTACCAAAGTACTTGCTTATTTTCCTATATTTTCCTATATGCTTAGGTCCAAAATCCCTTTTCGCCTTTTGCCCTTTTAACTAATGAATTTTGGCGTTCGTCTAAATTTGTCGGACGCTCGCTTAAATTTATACTTATACTTGAATTTAAAAAAACCTTATTATACAAGCATGTACAATGGCTGATTGTTTTTTAGAAATTCGTGTTTTGTGTTTTTTATTTTTATTATAAAAAGAATAAATATATATTTTTTTAAATTCGAAATGATGCTATAGTTTAAAATTGCAAGTTTGTGACAAACAACAAATCGAAGTTTTTCAACCCTTGCTTGAAATAAAAAAAAAACCTTATCTGTAATGCATAGCTCCTTTATGGTAGTTCAAATTTCTTTTAAAAGAAAATTAGAGAGCCAATTTGTCGGTTATGAACTTTGTGCACCTTCGACGATCAGTTTCTTTTCAAATGGGTGTGAAGCGTTAGATTGTGTAACAAAAGAACTTTTAACAATAGAACGTTTATCAACAACCATCTCTTAAACTTTTTATGAACAATTTGTAAAGCAGCAGATTGTTTTGTTGCTTTCAAAAACTCAATGATTGACAATTTGCATACTGCAACGCTGTACGTGTCGAGTATGGTAGTTCATAGACATTCAAAAGTTCAAACTAAGAACCTCGTCAAATTTGTAAAAGATCCACTTAACTATTTGCATACATTCGTGTGGTATCTGCAAAAATATTAGCCACAGAAAAAAATTCAAGTATTGGGGAAAAACGGGCAATGTTGCGACAACACTCAATTTACATCAACGTTAAAATAAGTGCTCAGCAAAATTAGATATAATTTTAACAGAAATGTACTTCATTGATTTTCAAGCCATTCAAGCAAAATCAAGCACTAAATTATTCAAAACTGCTCGTATTAAGGAATTTTAAGACTCCTTTTTTAACATGTCTGAAGTCGTTTTTTGCAATGCAAAGAATAATAAAGGCCAATTTTTGCCAATATCAATGACATAAGCAACTTAATTGGTCAAAAGCAAAACTGTTTAAATTTATTATTATATTTCACTCGTTTTTTACTCTAATATGAATGAAAAACTGGCTTCCGACATCCAAATGAGCAGTTTCAGAGGTTAATAAGTTTTCAGTCAGATTTGTAAAACAGAAAAAACAGCCAAAGTTTTGGGTTTAACCATAAAAATTGCTTACCAACTGTTTGGCTTTAACTAAACAAATCGATTTGTTTCGTGTCTATTAGCGCATGATTCGTACCCACTAGTTTATTGCCTCGATTGATTTGCCACCTACGCCCTATTGGAGATAGAGCGAGCCCTAATTTTTTCAGATGGCTATGTAGTCATTTTTCAAAGTCCTGGAACTTAGTTTAAAAAAAATGCAGCTGAAACTTTATTTTTGACTTCAGTTTGGGGCATAAGTTTGTGGTATCAAACCGCCAAAAATTGTTGTAAACAGAGCGTAACTTGTCCGAAGAAAATCCCAGAAGGATTTTTCCTTTAAAACATTCACTTTTGTGCCAAAATGTGCGCTTATTAGTAAAATTTTTTTGTCAAATAAAGTTTTTGTCTAATTTTTACAGCCCAAAAATATGCATCATGAAACAAATAGAATAAAGATACTCTGTTAATAACATCAAAAACTGAAGAAAAAAAATTAGAAAAAGCTTCTCGTGGATTGAATCAGAACAAGGCTACTGGAAGTCCAGCATAATGAAACGGCCCTTAAGCTAAAAGAAAACATAATTTTATGGACTTTTGAATTCCCCAGACGCTGCTAAAGGTCAAATTGATGTTTTTAATCTCTAATGTTGTCTTAATAAGACCAAATAGTTCACTTCAAATGCTATTGTTAGAGTTTCTAAGCCAAACTGAGTCGCCGCGTGAAAAACACGAAGTATAATGCGCGTTAATTATCCTAAACTGGCCAAAAACCCAAAACAAAAAATGAACGAAGAATCAGATTGGGAGGAGGACATCAAAAGATACTAGGTGATGTAACAAATATCTTCATAAATGGCTGAAAACTCAAAAAAAGTCACACCAAGCACGAGTTTTTTTCAAAAATTATGTTCTGAGGCGTTTTGACATGCGATTTCAATCAAAATTTAGAAGGATAAGCATCTTTAAGGCATATATGCACTTACTTTTGCCAAGAATAACCCACGCTGGTTTGTCTTCTATATTTTAATAGCAAAAATAGAGCAAAATTGATTTCGCGTTATCGTGTCGCCTGAAAGAGCTTGTTACAGAAATCGTTATGCTCGGGTGTTAATTTTTTTGATTGTTTGCCGTCGTTTTCTCAATTTTTTGTTTCAAAATTAGATAGCAAAAAAATAAGTAGACAAGCTAAAAGCTTCTAAAATCTTTTTCATAATTAAAATCGTTATCTATAAAGTGAAGCCGACGAATTTTAGTATCAATGAAGATAACAGGCTGCTGTACAAGTAGCGCAGAATTTGTCAACCAAAATTGATTAAGTCAAACCTAAATTAAGAGAGAAAAAAACCCTACAAACATTCTTTGAGTATTTAAGGCAGTAAAAATTGGCGGAAAAAAAACTGAAAAATTGACTCAAAGCCATAGTTCTCTTCCAATCTTCCATAACAAAAAGGCTGTCTTGCAGCGGTTCGAACTTAGTTGTTCGAAAAAACTCAAACTTTTATATCATACTGTGAATCTGAATGATAGCTGTTAGGTGATGTAATAAATTATTGTCATAAAAGGCTGAAAACCCAAAAAAAGTCACACCAAGCACGAGAAATTTTTTTTCAGAGTTTTGTTTTGCGACGTTTTGAAAGGTGCCGTAGTTCCGAGTTCCATCAAACTTTAGAATAGAAACATCTTTAAGGCATAAATGCACTTACTCATGACAAAAATAACCCACGCTGGTTTTTCTTCTATAATTTATTAACAAAAAAAAACAGAGCAAAGTTGGTTTCGCGTTATCGTGTGGCCTGAAAGAGCTTGTTTCAGAAACCGTTATGCTCGGGTGTTAATTTTTTTGAGTTTTTTTGCCGTCGTTTTCTCAATTTTTTGTTTCAAATTGGGTTAAAAAAATAAGTAGACAAGCTAAATGGATCATGGTTGGCCTCGAACATCCGATCTTTCGATCATGCGCAACCACTTCACCACAGCTTCCCATTGTTGTTATTTGCATCAAAATTTGCTTGTTTGCCCTAGTCGATCAAGGAGGGTTATCTTACAAGATCTTGCAAGATGGATGTTATCTTACAAGAACTTGCAAGAATGAGGTTATCTTGCAAGATCTTGTAAGATGGAAGTTACCTTACAAGATCTTGCAAAAAAGAGGTTGTCTTGCAAGAATCTTGCAAAATTCTTGCAAGATCTTGCAAGATAGCCATCTATGAAATTTTCACAAAACCTTTTTCTGAGCGCCAGAAAAAAATATGGAGATCCAATTTGACTACGGTCACAAAGAATTCTGAGTTTAAGCTCGGAAAAAAATTAGGTTAAACAATTTTTGAAATTGTTCATATACATTTTAATTTTTCATTTCGTAATGCAAATTGCTTCAGATTGCTTCAAGTTATCTTTAAAGGAGGTTGTCTTACAAGATCTTGCAAGAATCTTGCAAGGTTTTTTAAAGAGCTGCATCTTCTTTAAAAATTCTTGCAAGATTCTTGCAAAATAACCTCCTTTGATCAACTAGGGTGGTCAAAAACAACAATTTGCATCGGTTTAAACCTATTATTGAATCAGCACGGAGAGTTTTACTTTTGAGTTGTAGGCCTCATATTTCTGGGCGAAGATATCTTGCTTCACTCATGCAGTATTTTCAACTTCACATCTCTAAATGTTGACTCACATCAGAATGCGACCGACTGCCCGACTAACTCATTTCTTCTGGACGATAAGTCCTCCCTGGACCAAACTACTCTAAACGCACTTCCGAAGTTCCTCCAGGAACTTCAGGAGGTGGTGTCTTTGACCTTGATCCCAGGACCCAGCGACTGGGAGAATCGAGAAACGATTCAAATACATGCTTCCATTCCGAGTTCGAAGGCGGGAATTTGGGTGATTTTGCATTCGGATTACGAAGAGGTGGCAGCGCAGTAAGTTTTAACACGTTCGCTATTAGAAAGTTTCAAAAAGATGAGTTTTTGCATTTTTTGATGATAGATGAAGCTAACTATCGACTTTACAAGTTACACATTTAGCTTATATATATTTTTTGTTATCCTAAAATTTGCTTTTTTTATAAAAGTTTTTTGGGTTTTTGAATTTTTTTAAAAAAATTTTGAGAAGTCATTTTTTAGGTTTTACTTTTTTTTGGTGTCTTGATTTTTTCAATGGTTTGTGAAATGTTTGTGGTGGATTCATGAACGTTATGAACGTATTGGTCTTCAATTTTGAGAGGCAGTTTGTTAGTTTTGAATAACTTACCTTTCCGCTGAAATTGATACCAAAACTAAACTGACTCAATCACTAAAGTAACTTCAATCAAACTCTTTTTTTTTGTGTCAGATTCTCCCTACTCGAAGAAGGAGGTATCTCGCCCAGTGAGAAGTGGGAGCTGACCTCCTCGCTCATCCTGGAGAACTCGATGAACTTTGCCAGTGCCCAGTTCCGCTCCTTCTTCCTCATGTCAAAGCAGCAGTTCAAGAGCTTCGGAGCACTCGACGCTGTCCGAATTGACATGGAGGTTTGCCAATGATATTACTCAATACGAGGCCAAACTGTGTATTTTGTGAATTTTAAGCGGATTCCGCAACAAGGACGCTCCCTTTGTATTTTTTTTCGTTCTTTCATTTTGTTTGATAGTTCCGACAAAGTTTTTACTTGTTTAAAGATTTGTCTGTGGAATCCAGGAACTCATCGACACAAAATTGTGCGCCTATCGAGTGCCAGTTTGGCTTCGTAATGCTCGAAATAAATCAGAGTGAATAAGCCGAAGCAAAAACAGACCAAAAATATGATGAATGTATTGAACAGACAAAATTCATCTGAGTATACCGGAGTTTTTCTGTGGAATTCTTCTCATATGAGAAAAATTTTTGTTATTGCGTTCAGTCAGGATTAAACTCAAAAACTTAAAAACTTTGTTTTTCTTGTAAAGAGAAAAAGCTAGTCACTCAATTCGCACTGCGAAGAAGTTCTAGTCGTACAATTATCAGAAAATCTTCTGGACGAGTGAAGTGCTAGTTTCACAAGTGTGAAATTGTTTGACAACTGTTTTTTGTCAATTCCGCGTCTTTTCGAATTAAAAGCTGCAATTGCAGCCACTTAAAAACTCACCGCCATCATATTAAATATTTGAAAACCAAAAGCAAGTAAGGATGATGCAACACTTTTCTGCCCAGAAAAATATCCGAAAAAATGTTCAGCCTGAAAAAGTACCCACAAATTTTTGGCTCTGTTCCTTGTGTTTGAGTCGCTCTGAGGGCATCATTTTTTCCCTTCAGATCACTTTGATGGAGCAGAACAAGACAGACTTGGACTCTCTGCTGGGTGGTGGGAGGCCCCCCCAGTCCTATGTACACATGGAGGCATTCTACCAGTGGAAGGACGGATTCTACATGGAAGGAGACCAGTCTGTAGTCCATTGATATTACTTTAAAATGCGGCTTTTTTCCACTCCCCCACACATTTCAGTTTTTCTATTTTCATAGTTTTTTTCTACTTGTTGTAACGGCCCTACGATGTAAGGTATGAAGAACAAATCTGTTAGTTTGTAGTTTGTAGTTTGTTCACCATTCGAAATTTCATTGCATTGTGACAACGTTTAAATAGTTTTTCAAAACTTAAAAATCAAATGTGGGGGGAAAGTGAAAAAGAGCCAGAATTACCCCAAAAACCAATTTTTACCGTATTACATTTTAGAAATAGCCGAAACTTCAATTGTTTGCTTTTGATTTTTGGGATATATTTAACTATCCCCCTCCTTTAATATAAAACTCGCATGTGCCGTACCATTGAAGTAATTCATTATAGGGGCTGCAAATGGTTTGCCATGCCCGTAGGTATGCGCAATGTTAAAATTGAATCCGAACGGATTGGTGAGCTAATTATGAAGGAGGTTAAGAACATAAATAAGACGACTGAATCATAAACTGTTTATTTTATCTTCTGATGACATACACTAAGCTCTTTGTCAGCATTGTCTTCAAGGTCACTTGACCAGCTCAACGCAGTGAGCATTAAAAATATCTATAAGAAATATATTGCCAATCCGGCCAATCCGACATGGTTTGTAGGTGACAAAGGGAGGAATAGTTAAATAGATCCGATTTTTGAAGCAGCCTAAAAATGATACTTGTGACTAGATATTATCACAACTATCTACTCATTTTTAGGCAAATTTAACAATCAAAAGCAAGTAATCAAATTTTGGGCTTTGTTGAAACTAACTACAACTAATCAGCTTTTGGGTCACTCAAAACAAAATGAATTAGTGTTTTTCTTGACCAAAATGAAAGAATTCTTAATCGTTTGTTATATTTTGAAAAAAAAATGAAACAAAACTGGAGCATACAAAAATTCTGTTATTTTGCTCGGAGCAAATGTTTGTTGCGAGTGGTACTCGTGTTCCTGATTCGGTCAGATACGATTAAAATGGTTAGTTTTTAATCTCGGAATTGTGTCTGCGCACTTTTTCAAGTAAATTTATTCAACTTCATAAGCTTAAGACACTTCATCATAGCTCTAACTTACAAGATACTTGACTGTCTATCGTAATTCAAAAACTTCGTATCTTGAATGATATTTCAAACATAAGAATTTTTTATGCAACAGTTTTGTATATCTAAACCGCGGCAGCTTTAAAAAATTTTTTATTTGTTATTCTCTTGCTTTGTAGGTTTTTGTCGGTGACTATTTGGGCCATATTCACCATAATGGCCTCCGCACTTCTGATGTTGGAAAGAGGCTACAACACTCTAAAAAGAGTACTCACATTCAAGATCTCAGACGGACCGAGTAAGAAGCAACAGCAACAGCAGATAGAAGACCAACTGCACAAGGTTAAAACTGAAAAAGAAAATTTGTGTCAAAATGTTTTCCAAGCATTGCTTGAATTTTTTTTCCTAAAAGCAATGGGTGGTCTAGAACTTTCTCTAGTGGTGCGGATTTTTACAAAATTTTTCAAAAACCCATCGATTTTCCAAAAATCCATTAAAAAAATTTCATGTTTTTTTCGAAAATCAATCGAAGACAACTTTTAAAAAAAGTTCTTGAGGTCGACGAAAGTGATTTATAGAGCTCTCTCAAATCACTAAAAATACCCTGTTTCGGCCAATTTTTTTTAAAAAGCTATTTTAAAAAGCTAGGGTCAGAAGCTAAAACTGGAGGTCTTATAAAATACCAAAAGGGGCGCTTTAGGTAGTCAGAAGGTCGAATCCCTCTAGAAAAAAGGCGTCAACCCCATCCCCCACCCCATCAATCCGCTATTGAGTTAAAGCATTAACTTTTTTCCTGTATTTTCGTAGTAGATTCAGGTGCGAATCTGAGATTTTTTCGAGGGGATGGGGGGATGGTGGCGGATTTTCAAAAAAATTATCGAAAAAATTTTTGCCCTTTTTAATTCTTAAACTGCTTTAGTTATTTTAAGATAAAACTTAGCCCATTGAGATTTTTTGAAGTCGATAAACTTGAATTTCGTTTTAAGGAAGAGGAGGAGTTGAATGAACGACAACGTGCATTCGACGAAGCCAATGCAGCCGACTCCCGACCCTCGACTGCCCATTCCGAGTTGGGTCTAACAGACGCCGAGCTCGACTTCGGAGAGGACGAGGGCAAGGACGGCTACGAGGAAGTCGACTTCGATATATTCAAAGCAGATAATAAATGAATGAGATTGAAAAACGGCAATAAATTAATAAATTTACTATATGGCATGACGATTATGATTAATAAACCGTGTTTCGATTTGTTCAAGAGCTGATAATCAAAATGGAGGTTCTGAAAGTTGCAAAAACAAAATTAGTTCCTAAAATTGCAGATATTGCAAATAATTTGGAAAATTAACAATTCAAATTGCAAAAAAAACGGATAAAATTGAACGTATGTTTGAACGATTTTGATTGGACCACTGAAGTGGTCGAGACACTTTGCATAAAATTATGTTCTTTTCCACAAACAAGAGGAAAAATTGGGAATTTACTTAGAGAAAAATAAGGTATCAAAAAATCGGATTGTCGATTACATCTAATTTAAAACATTCGGGAGCAAAAAATAATTAAAATTGGATCAGCTCAACTTTATAATCTAGCGTATGATTGTAAACTATAATCTCTCCAACACAATAAGAAAATTTTCATGCCGTCTATTTAGAGTTATTTTTCATTCTGTAGAAGAAAAAAGATATAAAATCTGTTTTTGCCCGGATATACGAGCAGTCGTCTCGGCTTTTTTGCGCTTTTGAAGCAAAGTATATACTGTTGAAACTATTTTGCAGGGAGTTTTTTTTTTTTAAAATAACAAAGCTGCTCGTATCAGGGCAATCTCCTGAATGGTCCAACTGCCCTTGAATATTTATTTTCTAAGATTGCTTTCTGTTCACGATTCTCAATGGGTAATAGAGTATTTGTCCACTTTTTGAACGGCACGAAATAAAAATTGTCTACTTTTTGACCGCACTCCTTGTTTTTTTATCCTGCCCTACAAAATCATGTCAAAATGAATTGAGACAGGTAATTGGTTTTATTAGGTCCAAACATGACTCAAATTGCGTCGTTTATTGTTGATATTATCAGCCTAAAACTCATAGTTTTGCTAATATTAAATTTACCAAAAACTATCCGAGAACAATTAAAGGGCAGATGGAACAATCAGGAATTTGCCCTGACACGAGCAGTTTTGTTATTTTATAAATAAAAATAAAACTCGCTGGCAAATACAGTGCTGATTTAAATTATCCGGACAAAACAAACAAAACTTGAATTTTCAAACGCGTTTTTCTCAAATTGGGTTAAGATTAGACAAAAAATGAAGAGTACAAAAGTTGCTAGAAATTTCACCAAAATTATTATGGTGCAATTTTTTCTCCGAAATTTTCAACCAAATTTTTACCCGAAAAATCGGTCATTTTGGCTTTTTTCAATTAATCAAAAATTACACTGAAACTATTTCGTTAATTGATGAGAAAATTATATCACAAGAAGCGTCCTACATAGCCCAACAAAAGTTAAGAAGGGTTAAATCTCCAAAAGTGTGCGCAAATTGTTTAAAATTTGTTTTTAAACAGATATTCTGGTTTTTATAAAGTAAAAATCACATTTATTGACTATCAAGTAAAAACTTTTTCTCTTATACTGGTTTTTGGAGATTTAACTCTTCTTACACTTTGTTGGGCTATGTAGGACGCTTCTTGTGATATAATTTTCTCATCAATTAACAAAATAGTTTCAGTGTAATCTTTGATTAATTGAAAAAAGCCAAAATGACCGATTTTTCGGGTAAAAATTTGGTTGAAAATTTTGGAGAAAAAATTGCACCATAATAATTTTGGTGAAATTTTTAGCAACTTTTGTACTCTTCACTTTTTGTCTAATCTTAACCCAATTTGAGAAAAACGCGTTTGAAAATTCAAGTTTTGTTTGTTTTGTCCGGATAATTTAAATCAGCACTGTAGTTTCAACAATATATATTTCGTTTCAAAAGCGCAAAAAAGCCGAGAAGACTGCTAGTTTATAGGGACAAAACCCCAAATAGTCCGACTGCCCCTTAGCCTATATCGAATAGTTTCTTGGGAAAAAAATGAAAAACTAAATTAGGACAATATCAAGTATCAGGGCAAATTCCTGAATGTCCAATTGCTAATTTCGCAAGGCTCAAGATCAAGTGTCAAATTTTGAGCCTTGCGAAGTTAGTACGACCGACTAGCTGACGTACTTTGAGATACAAAAAGATATTTTGGTATTCACATTTTTTATCGTATTTACATTTTTTATCGTATTTTTAAAAGTATTCACAGGACATTTATCGAATAATTTCATATTTCAAATCTCCATTATAATCTATTTTTATTTATTCAACTTACATGATATTGTTGCCTGGCATTTTTTACAAAATTTGGTTTTTATTGACTTTCTATCATCTTGATTCAATATAATCGACTATTTTTTATAGATGTGCGGTTTCTTAGACGTGAAAATTTTACTTTTAAATTTTTAAACCCAAACAAACACCTGCAACTCCAGCCTTGGGCATCTTCGGTCAAAAACTACGTCTTTTACTCTCACAAATTTTCCGACTCCAATCACCAAACACCCAACCTCGCACCCCCACGTTTTCACTCCTTCCTCCATTTTAAACTTCCCTCAAATTCCCTTTCCCCTGTAAAAGCCGCAAACGTGGGGGGGGGGGGGGTAGGGGGAGGGGCGAAACAATTACTGGAGGGACGAAAAGCCAAGTAAATTGGACAAGAGAGGGTAAAAAGAAATCAGCAAAAAACAACAAAAACTGAAAATTTGTATCGGAAACAATTGAAAACAGAAAAAACGATTTTCGAAACAAAAAATTTGCTCAGAACGTGTTCAGTCACAAAAAAACCGCTGATTTTAAAGTATATTTGAATATATTTTGAGTTTGAAAAAATTAAAGATTATAATCAAATAAAATGGATTCTATTGAATTGAAAAAGGGTTATAGTCCATTTTAAATCAATTATAGCTGTTGATTGTAATGTGTAGAGATATTGACTCTGAAAATCCAATATAATCGATTATTGTTCACGAAACTCCAGTCAGAAGTTTTTGTCGTCGGGTGTTAAATATATGTCCTCAATTGTTTTTTTCTTCAGACAAATTTTGATTTTTCAATTGGTCATTTTTGACGTAAACTTCAACCTTATCTGAAAGATATTGTTAGCTCTATCCAAATCACATAAAAGCTTAACAAAAAGTAAGTTTTTCGTACCAGGGTGAAGCTCTAAATGTTTTGACTGCCTTTTAAGGTCTATGGAGCAGTAATAACCTGGAAAAATCAAACTTATTAAAATAAAATAATTCTTTTTTCTTTATTTTTGAGATTTTTTGTGAAAACCATCCCTGCACACGCCATATAAAGTACAAAGTGATAGATTTTCCTCCTTTTAACAAATCAACTAGGGCATCTAAATTTCCTTCAACCAATTTGGAATGATTTTAGGACGGATTAAAACTACGCCTACGCTTTAAAAGCGCGAAATAAGTCGCGTGTTAACTGTGCCAAATTGATCGAAATAGCAATATTTCTAACCCCCATATTTTTACAAGAAATCATCACTGGTGGAGTTTTTTTTTGAATATCAAGCTCAAGACATCATTACTTTTTGAATGATATAGAAAAAAATTCTGTCAAAAATGGTTAGTTAAAAAGTCGAAATTTATCTGAAGAAAAACAAACCACCCGAGCACAAAAATTACAAAACTCGGAACAATACAACTTAACTGGGTTCAACTGTTGTTCCGACTTTTAATGAAAACGGATTATTTATGCACGATTTGGTTTTTTATTCAGTCAATTTCGCCGATCGAAATCATAGTTTTTAACAAAAACTTTTTATATTCCATTGAAGATATCGACTTTCTGAGTTCCAATTGACTAACACATATCACCTCCGATAATTTTTTGCAATGTTGTGGTGGTTTGAAATTTGCAAAAATGGCCATGTTCTGGGCTAAATTATCTGCGCTTTGAAGAGTTCATACATATTGCTGAGAGCGTAACGCGAATTATTTATCCGTGGCGAACTATCCCGCACTACAAAACCACTCCAAATTGAATTGAGGCTAGCTTATCGGTCATATTAATTTCGGCATTTCACAATTTCAAACTTTGATATTATCGAAAATTTATAGGTTCTAAAATTTTCATTTCCCAAAAATTATTCGATATGAATTAAGGGACAGCCGGAACATTCAGGGTTTTGCCTTGATTTACGAGCAGTTTTGTTCTAAAATTGAAATGGGTTGTTTTTGGGAATACTTTGACTGCAATAGAACAAAATGGAACAAACTGGTAAAATGTTTTGTCCTAATGAAGTGTAAGCTGCAAATTGAAAGTGCTATCGAAGCTTCAAAAACATTTTTTGTGATTACAGCTTTTTGTGCAATTATAGCCTCATGAAAACCTAGAAAAGAGAAAAAAATAGCTCGAAATTAGATCGAAAGGCAACAATCTGGCTTTTTTTTCTCTACATCTAGAGAAGCTTCCTAAAGTCGATCAATTTGAGACTGAGATAGCTTGAAAACGACAATATCTCAACCCATTCTGATATCTATTTGTGTTACTTGATACTGCGCGGTAAAAAAAACCAAAAAAAACACACACCTGAAGACTGGTTCCTACCTCTCCACCTTCATTGGTCGGAATAGTAAAGCAAGTCAGCAATTTTTTGAGTTATGGCGCGGCGGACAATTTGACAGTTTGTAAAAATTATAATTGATACTTCCTTGTTTGTTGTATGATCTCGACAAGACAAGTCAGCGACTGCTGAGTAATAATTTAGAAAATTTACGGAGGGGGTTTTCCTTCACCAAATTTTTGCTCTAATAACTTTTAAAAATTCATTATGCTTCCAGGATGAGATTTCATTTTTACTAATTAAAATCTCAGAAATCGATTGATTTTAACAGAAGCTGAGTCTTACTCCTGAAGCGGTTTTTAGGCAATCTTGTTTTCGGTTACGCTATGATGATGATCAATGCCCTGGTTGACCTCCTTAGACCAAAAATGCTAATCATACAATCCCATAAACTAAGTCTATGAAAAAAAACTAATCATACAAATTTCATACATTTTGCTAAAATGGTGTCGTCGAATTTTCGAAAAACCTCTATCTTGTTTTGACATAAAATTCGGTGTATCGTACTAAATAAAAAAGAAAAACTTTTTGTCAAAAAAATGCTACTCATAAAATTTCCATATATGTAAAAAGAAAAAACTTTTTGTCAAAAAAATGCTAATCATACAATTTCCTTTTTTTTGAAATTGCCCCCAAAAATTTTTTTGTGTTTTTTTCAACCGCAAATTGATTACCATACTCAAACAAACCTTTTTTGATAAAAAAAATTTTGCGTGCAAACTTTAATTTGTTGTGTGTATATTGTAGTCGTGGATATACTAATATTGGATTTTTTTCCTTTTCTCTTCATAACTTTTTTCGCTTAAAATTCTTACTTCTTAAAATTTTAAGCGAAAAAAGCAAAACAAACGCTTAAACAAACGCTTATTAAGCAAAACAAACGCTTAAAATTCCTCTTTCTTTTTGTATGTCATGTTTTTGTATGCCTTGATCAACGTCTGGTCATTTAAAAATTCAAATTTTAGAAATAATCTTCTTTGAAAATTTTTCCCAAAATTTAAAAGTTTGTTACTTTTGTTATATTATTTGTGTGAGACAGAATTAAAACAGTTCAAGCTGTCTCCAATGCATTTTTATTGCGAGACGGCCAAACCTTTATGAATTATGTCATTTGTGTTTGGTTACGAACACAACCAAAAAGTTTTGAGAAATTAAAATGTAAAAAATCAATATTTTTGACTTATGGAAAAATGCTAGCCATACAATTTCCATATACGAAAAAATACTATTCATACACCTGTCATGAAATTTTCTGTACTTATGGAATTGCATGAAAAGTGTATGATTAAAATTTTTCCATATATGAAAATTGTATGACTAGCATTTTTAATCAACCCGGGTGATTAATTTAAAGAATCAAAATTTTTGAATTACATTTTATTATCAAATCATCATATCGTAAAATTTCAAAATGTTGTCTAAAAACCCGTTGGAAAAAAGGTATTAAACCAAATTTGTATCAATTATTCATAGCAAAAACTATTTATGGACATTGAATCAAAGCCAAAAAATTGGAAGCTGCGTATTAATTCTTTCTGATTTTTTTTTCAAATTTCATTGTGCCATTGCTTCATTTTAATTGAATCATTTTTTGGCGGTCAGGTTAGCTCTTGTTTCCGTTTCTTTCCATTGGTTTAATTTTGCAGAATATAGTTTCAAATTTTTCGACTTCAAAATTTATCAGCCAGTCTAAGCTATTTTTCATGTAACTTTTCCAAATACGAAATTGGCGACTGTTGCTACCCAAGTAACAAAAAAATTTCCGCTCTGATTAAAAAGAAAACAATAGTATTATGTAAATTACGAGCCTAAACTGTGGTTTAGTTTTGCAGAACACAGTTTCAAGTTTTTCGACTTCAAAAATTATCAGCCAGTCTAAGCTATTTTTCATGTAACTTTTCCAAATACGAAATTGGCGACTGTTGCTACCGAAGTAACAAAAAAAATTTCCGCTCTGATTAAAAAGAAAACAATAGTATTATGTACATTACGAGCCTAAACTGTGGTTTAGTTTTGCAGAATACAGTTTCAAGTTTTTTGACTTCAAAAATTATCAGCCAGTCTAAGCTATTTTTCATGTAACTTTTCTAAATACAAAATTGGCGACTGTTGCTACCCAAGTAACAAAAAAATTTCCGCTCTGATTAAAAAAAAACAACAGTATTTTGTAAATTACGAGCCTAAACTGTGAATTTTGTGCATTGCAAGCGGATTTCGCAACAAAGGACGCTCCCTTTGTTTTTTTTTGTTCTTTCATTTCCTTTGATCCTTCCGACAAAATGTTAACATGTTTAAAGACTTGTCTCTGGAATCCAGGAACATACAGAAACAAAATTGTGCGCCTCTCCAGTGCAGAGTTTGCTCTCGTATTGTTTTTTTTTCTTGTTTTGTTTATTTAAATCAAAAATTATTTATAGACGTTTGTTGGCAGCCGAAAGATTCAGGACTTCGTACTGATAGGAGCGGTCTTACTCTTTTTTATTTTTCAAATTTCACTTTGGCGTTGTTTTATTCAGTTTAATCATTTTTGTGGTCAAATCTAGAAATCACGGTAAAAATGAGTTATTGATGAGTGCGTTCCTACGATTGCGAAGACCAGCGTTGCCATGATATCGTAACACGCTGAGCAAAAAAGAAGTAGAAATCCATTTGAGAGCTAGTCGGATTTCCGGCCAGCTTGTCTATTATAAATTATATACAATTTCAAATGTGCATTTGGAGATACTAAATTTCAAAAAAAATCTGCATACTAAATTTTTTAAATATATTTTCATTTATACTCGCCATTGATACAAAATTTTATAGATCAACAATGAATTGAAAACTGCGTTTTTTGAACAGAAAATCAGCATTTGAAGTAATTATTTATTCTTCTTTAACCAACTCCGACTAATTTAAATACGCAAAACTTTATAGTTGGTTATATAAAGATCACGAATAAAACAATAGAATATAATGATTAATAAAAAACAAAACTAACTGAAATGGAATCGAAGCAAATCTTCAGTTGGGTTTTGAGAGCTGTGGCCATCATCATATGTGTGGGTGCAGTGTTATTGTGTGTAGTGTCAGCACTTTTGTCCATTCTCAAACTGGTCCAGACTTACAACACTCCGGCTAGCCGATATGTCCAGAAGACTCTAACTGGCTACCACATTGCACCGGGTGAAAAAATTAGGCTCAAAATTCTGTGTTGGAAATGGTGACAAAAATTAGTTTGCCAATTCTCTTGGAATTACGAATTATAAAAAAAGAATGATAACAAAAGAAAGGGAAAAATGGTAACAAAAAATAGTTTTACTGTTCTATTGGAAACAAAAAGATAACAAAAATATAGCAAAACCATTAGAAACAAAAGTTTTTAAAAAGTGAAAGTGAAAAAAATAAAAGAAATTTACGAAATTGAGACAAAAATGGTTGCACAATTTTTTTGGAAACAAAAATTTAATAAAATAAAAAAACGACAAAAATAGTTTCTCAAAACTGCTGAAAATAAAAAATTCTAAAAAACAAAAAAAAAGTATAAAATTTTTTTTCACACCACCGTTAGAAACAATCGGCAATATCATGAATTGTTGTAAATATCTTTTTCAATCAATGAGCCTGAACGAATTTTTTTTATATAAAACTGCTCATCTTAATGCCGACAACCAACTTTTCATTTATTTAGGCACGTTAAATCCGTGTGAAGTTATCTAAAAAACCTTAAAAAGTTTGGTTTGATTTTGGAACACAAATATTACAAAATGTATAAAATCGTTATTTCGTGCTATTAAAAACAGCTAAAATTAATGAAAATAAGTAGTTGAGCACAAAACATTACGACCACGAAAACAAAAATTCAAAAAAATTTAAGGGAGCGGTGGTGAAGTGGTAGTCAAAAGAACTGAGGCTTATCAACTAACTCATAAAAACAACCGAGAAATTAAATTTAATTCTTAAACAGTGGCAAAACCACGCGCGGATTTAGTGGGAGGGGGGTTTGGTTTTTTAAGTGCCCATTAAAAAATCAATTTTTTGCTGAGCGATTTTAAAATTTTCTAAAGGCAGCCTTCGTCTCCAATATATGCTTACTTTTTGGGGTGGGGGAGCGCGCCAAATAAATGCTGTTTTTTAGTCAAAATTTTCAAAAAAAAGTTCCCAAAAACTGCTTTTTTTGACTGTTTTTTTAAATTTGCCTGCGGCGCAAAGAGTTTTTTCTAAATACGGTCTGCTAGTTCTGCGAGTGTTCTGGGACCGCTCGGAAAATCGGTTTGGTCGACCTAAAAAAGTCGACAATTTTTTTTTGAAAAACCGCCAGCCCCAGCGCCCAAACCCCCCCCCCCCCCCACGAGAAAATCAAAATCATAGATCTACCCCTGGACACATCAGAGGTTCTCTTTAAAGAGTGGAATAGCTCGTAGGTTGGTCTGTTTTCTTATGGATAAATCATATTAAATAATTAATATTCTATTTCAGGCATAGTGTTTGCTGGTAAAGACCTATCGCTACACAAGTGTGAGAAGTTTAACTTCACTTCTCTGGACATAGACGCGCTTGGCAAAGTGTCCATGTGTAATCCTATCCAGTTCACCATCCACTCAACCAGTGCTCCCGGAGACCAGGCACTGATGGCTAACATGCCAGCCATGCTCCAGGTACTTATGGCTTTCATAAAATCTAAACCTCCAATATGAAAATATACTTTAACTCAGATGAAAATATCACAACAATCATCACTCCAAAAATATATAAGAACATAAGCGTAGGTTCCTTCTCGGGTCGAGGTGCTCGACTTTTGTTCCGACTTTGAAAGTCGAGCAAGTGCTCGTTTGCGATTGCGATTGAAATTCCGCGGTCGAGAATCAATTTTAAGTCGAGCACAATGTCGAAACAAAACCCGATTTCGGTTGAAAAAGTCGAAACATAGGTCGAAAAAGTCGAAACATACCTGATTTTAGTCGAAAAAGTCGAAACATAGGACGAGCACAGTCGAAAGATACCAAAATTTGGTCGAGACGGTCGAAACATAAATCGAGCACCTCGACCCGGTTTGGTTTCCTATTTTCTAAACCTCTAATGATACTTTAACTCAGATGTAAATGTCACAATAATCATCGCTCCAAAAATATATGAGAACATGAATGTAGGGTCCCTATAAGAGCCATTCACATAATGTAAAGAAGCCCGGGCACTACTATGTTGGTAATGAGGCTTACTTCACCTACCCGGGTTGACCAAAAATGCTTGTACTACAATTTCCATATATGAAAAAATTCTTATCCTACAATTTCCTACAATTTCATAGACTCAGAAAATTGTAAAAAAAACTCTAGGATAAGCATTTTTTCAGAAATGAAAAGTGTAAGATAAGCATTTTTTCATAAACCAAAAAGTTAATTTTTTCTAAATTTTGTTTCTCAAATTTTTGGGGATGTGTTCGTGACCGAACACAAGTGACTAAACCCATGATGTACTCAACACTAGAGTTCCCAAAAGGTTGATCGTTTGTCATTGACAATGCATGGGAAACGATCTGAATTATAACAGTGATTACTTCGCAAATCATATACTGAAAGCATCAAACTTTTAAATTTAGTCAAAATTTTTCAAAGATGGTTTTTTTAAATTGAATTTTCAACTTATCAAACATTGATCAAGGCATATATAAACATGCCATACAAAAAAAAACAGGAAATCTTCGCCTGTTTAAAAAAAGTTATCCAGAGAAACGGAAAAAACTCCAATTTTTGTGCATCGTGGACTACGTTAGGCAGACAAAAAAAATAAAATTTGCATGCAAATTTTTTTTTGGAAAAAGTTTGATTGAGTACAAAATTCGATTTGAGGTGGAAAAAAAACGAAAAAATTTATGGGGCAATTTCAATTTCACTTTTTAAAAAATTGTATGAAAATTGTATGACTAGCATTTTTTCCATACATTTGATGTAGGCAATTGTATGATAAGCATTTTCGGTCTGGGGAAATGTAAGATAAGCATTTTCGGTTTATGGAGGTCAATCCGGGTATTTAGATCAAATCAAAGCAAAGTTTCACTGGTTTTTTTAATGGTAAAACTTGATCTTCAATGATCTAATTATTAAGCAGAAAATTAAATTAGAGAAAAAGTTGTCAACATTGCGTTTCAATCAAGTTGTTGAGAGTAATGTAGTTACTTGAAACGAGCTTGACGTGTTTTCGGTTATCTGAATAGCGTCAGGCTTTGATTTTTGAGAAATTTTAATTTGAACTCAATGTTTTTTATCATTACCGTCCCGTGTATCTTATAGTTAATTTTTATGGTGACTTGAAGCTTCAATTAGTGGAAGCTTGTATGATTTTTCATGAAACATAGGCTTCTTAGAATGACAAATTGAGACTTTTCATTTCGATTCTTCTGGTAAAGCTTCTCAACTTCTTTATTTTGCGATCCCCTAGAAGGGTATAACTAGAAGCAGCGGCCGGTCTAGGGTTTTGTCGAAGCAGGATGGATTTTCAACGAAAACAAACTTAAAAATTCAATTTAAGTTTTATACAGTTAGTAGACGCCTTCCGATTAAAGTAGTTATTTGCTATTTTACTGTGTTGACTAAAACAAAACAAAAAATCAAAAACCAATTTAGATGTGGCAAGATTTGAATCCACCAGTTTTCAAATTTCATCAGAATAACTCTATCAAGAGTTTGTTGTCTCGAAACTGATGAATCAACTTTGTCATTTTTTTATTTTATTTGCATAACTTCAATTATTAAATTTTTTATCAAAACTGATTGGTTTCTTATTCTTAAGTTGCTCATAACTTAAACTTATATCGTTTTTTCAAAAGTTTGTAAGCCTTTGTTTCAATTTTTCTGAATGAGAAATTGATCTATTTGTTCACTTGATAATACGCTGTTAAATGCGGAGCAAGGAGGTTCTTTTTTTAAATCTCGTTAATAAAAATAAAACTACTGGCTTGCTTTATTTTTTTTTCTAAAAATCTTTCCAGTTAATAAGAAATCGTGACATGCGGTTTTAAGAATTTTCCATTTTTTCGAACTCCGATTTATTTGCAAAACCATAGAAAAAAACTCCCTGCTGCATTACCGGTTCTACATTCGCTTTGCAAAATCTTTCTAAAGTTTGTTGATTGAAAACATACTGTAGTGATATATTTTGGCCATTAAAGGTGAGAATTTTAGAATTAGTTGCGCCATATGCTGCTTATAATTAAGCGTTTCATCTAAAACTACACCAAAGTATTTTACTCTTTCTTTATGGTCTGGCTTACGACTGCTGCTATTGATACCAATAATTGGCTGTTTTTTACAAGAAATAAGGGCTTTGCTTTTAGAAAAATCAATTGTAAATTATTTTTTCGTACTGTTTTTTTGCAATTTTTGATTCAAATTTAAGCTATTGTCAGCAGTGGACGTAATTTTTTTTCGTCTGCAAAAATTGTCAAACGGCTGCTATAAAAAAACAATAAGAAAACAGTTTACAGACAAAAAAGCCGAGGTCTCAAAATTGATCCCTGTGGAACCCCACGAAGCAATTTCTGTACTTTTGTTTGGCTTGTGCTAATTTCGTCATATTGATGTATGTTTCTCAGGAAAAAATTCAAAAATTCATGGATTGGAAATTTTAAGTCTAAGTATAACACTTTAGGAGAAGCGTTTCTTGATCTACCGTAACAGATGCACTCAAAAAATCAACAATTATACATTGCTAGAATTTCGTTGTTTGTAAGTCTATCGCCAACGTTTTCTATATTTTCTAAAACTGCATGTTTTGTTGATCTCTTACTTTTGCATCTAAATTGATGCAGTATTATAAAAAAAAAGTTCCGTTCAAACTCAATTTTTCCCATACCACTTATTTTTCTAAGACTCTATTATTGACAGGTATCAATGAAAATGGCCTGCTATTATCACTAATGTTTTTGGCTCCATTTTTGTGTATCGGGACAAGTTTTAAACTTTTCAAAGCGTCTGGAAAATACTTATCTGAAAAGACGTTAAGTAACCGCTTACTGCTAGATTTAGGGTTTTCGAAATAAAGTTAGTTATTTCGATTTTGGTACAATCATGCGATTTTTTGTTTGCTAAACTATTGATTAGGTCGAGCTATGGGTTTTTTTTTAGTACGAAACAGTTGTGTATAGTTTTGATAGATTTACCATTACTTAGCAGCTTTCATGTGTTCGGCAAGAACTGGACCTACATTCACAAAGTAGTCATTCAAGGAGTCCACTCTCATATAAACTTCGGTAAATCGATTGGTTCCGTCTTGGTCTTTGGCTATTTGCAAAAAGGTTTTTGAGTTATTTTTTGGACAGGCATTTTTTCATAGGGTTCTGTCATTACCCTTTTTTATTGCTTTTTTTTCATTATTTCGCAAAACTTTGCCAGTAAGTGTTTGTCTTATTATCAAAACACTCACGCATTATCAGTTTTTTTTCCATGTATGTTCTTAAAATTTTTTTCACCCATTATTTCACTTTGTTTGTTTTTTCTTGGAACTTTGCTTACTTTTGCTGCATTTATCTTTTCAAGCAGGTGTGTTTCTAAAATGTCAACAGAAGTTTTCTTCATCATTGTTAAAGATTGCCGCATATCAAAGTTTATCGCCTGTATCTTAGTGTTCTTAGCAGATGGCAGTTAACAGGGGTCGATTGCCAAGGTATCTCTCTCGGTTGATTCGCCAGCTTTGCTCTTTTTTCTCGCAATTTTCGTTGGTTTTGTGGACCTTATTGGCTACATCTGACCTTTCCATACTGGTTTGTTTGAGCTCCTTATAGCGTTGTTCGAAAACTGCCCTGTTTTTTGGCTGGATGAACTCAACTGTGACTTTTTGGCTATTTTTTTTCATTTGACTATTTTCATGTTGTACGTTCAATTACTCTAATTTTCATAATATTTTTTTTCGGGGGGGGGGGGGGGGGGGGGGGAGGAGGGGGGCAGTCGTCTGAGAAAAAAACATTATGGGAAGGAATGTCTTTTTTTGAGAAAGAAAGTCCTGTTCTTTTTCTTTTTCTTCTTTCCCTTCTTATTATGGCTGCTAAAATTATCATGAATTTTACGATGACTAATCTGATTGTTTTTATGCTTTTTATCATTATGATTGTTAGGGTTTTTTATGCTTTTTTATGATTCTGATTATCTGTATCATTACGCAGACTTTTCATTATGATAATGGTTATAGTTATGATTACGATTAATCTTGTAAATCATTCTGATCAATATCATGATAATGAATATTTTGATTGGGATTTTAATTATGATTAAATGACTATTATCAATTTTATGATTTTTTCGTTTATAATTATTAAGTGTTATGGTTTTTTCTAATAATTTTCAAATTTCATTACGATTATTAATTTTTGAATTCTTTATTGATTTGTTTTATTGTTGCAATTATTTTCTTCGTTTTCTTCATTTCCCCATCTTTTATTTAGGAGCTGGATGGTGATCTGACTTTTCTGCTGCTGAAGGGTCCGAAAGATTGGTCAAACAAGGAGACGATGAGCTTCCATCTCTCCATTCCCACCAGCATCTCTGGAGTATGGGCCGTCATCCACCCGGACTATGAAGAAATCAAAGATCGGTAAGCGAAGCTTAGCAAAACTAAATCAATTCATTTAAAAAAATAAACCAATTTAAAGGGGGGGGGGGAGGGGTCAGCAAGCTGGAAAAAACGCAACACAAAATTTGGAGCTAAGGTTATGGCTTGTGTAAAATATTGGGTTAAATGTAAGTTAGTTTAGCTAGTATATGACATATGAAGTCCAAATTTTTGCTCGGTTGTTTTGAAATCTGACGTAAATTGTCACTGTCAGTTCCGAACCAGTTTAGCCTCAACCTAACATCTTGAAAAATTAATTAAAATCAATGGTTCCCGCAAAAAAATTTGTCGATGGTGATGGAATTATATGGTAAAAATTGCATTGAAACTTCAGCGTGGGAAACACACGCCACTAATCAACCCAATAAATATTGAATATGTTAGGTTGAGTATATCGTCTAAATTAATTTTAAAATAGTCAGTCATAAATAATTTTGTAATTGCACCCAACCGCAACCAGGTTAAACCAGGTTCGAATCCCGTCTGGGACATCTGTTTTGACTCTTTTCCAATCCCCCACCCCACATTTGAAATTCAGCTCGGAAAAACTTATTTTACGTTGTCATAATATACGAAAATTTTGCATGGTGAACAAACTAATTATTGTGAACGAAATTCTTATTCTAATTTTACATCGTAGCATCACGCATTCACGCATAGTAACACGTAAGACAACTGAGAAAATAGAAAATATGAAAATTGGTGGGGGGCGAGGAGCTCGATTTGTTTCGACTTTCTCGACCACAAATTGGTATGTTCCGACAGTCTCGACCAAATTTCCGTAAGTTTCTACTTTCTCGACCAATTTTTGGTAGGTCTTGACGGTCTCGACCAAACTTTGTGTGTTTCAACTTTCTCGACCCAGCAAAAAAAAGTGTTCGACTTTGTTCGACCAAGTTCAGATGTTTTGACTTTCGCAACCGTCTCGACCGACTTTTTTTGAAAATTTATTTGATCGACTCGCATAGACATGTTTCCCTTTTCTCGACCAAAAATGGCTATGTTTCGACTGTCTCGAATTTATCGATCCAAAAAAAAGAAAACTCCAAAATTTTCTTCGAAAGCCAGAAGAACAAGGTTCTTTGTATCAGGAGGAAGCCCTGAATATATCAAGAAGAATCCCTCCTCGAAGGAATCTATCAGAGGGAAGAACCTTAATGACCCCCAACTAATTATTGTTTGAAGAAATTGTGAATAACATTACGAGGCCAATCTGTGCACTGGATAGATGCACAATTTTCTGTCTGCACGTTCCTGGATTCCAGAAACAAGCCTTTAAACATGTTCCAAAATGTAAGTGGATTCCACATACAAAATTTCCCCGGATTCCGCGTACAAATACCTCTAACGTAAAATTTGTCGGCATATTAGTTTTTCTGCGGATTCCGCAACGAGTGAATATAGGTAGTTGTTCTGGATTCCCCTAATGCAACCAGATTCCACAAATGTAAGTGGATTCCGCAAATTTATGCGGAATTTGCTTTCAGTTTGCGGATTGGGCTTGAAACTCGCGGAATTCGATCACAATTAGCGGATTCCGCTTATAATTTGCGGATTCAATGACAGCCCAAGTTTACTAATATATTGTTGAACAGATATTATTATTTGTTCAAGGATTCCACCAACTGTTCCGTATTTCGCAAAATTTGTTGCGAATTCCACATATTTTGTTGCGGATTCCGCAAAATTGCCTGTTTGTGGAGCGATTTTGAACAATACAGTGTTTTAGCTATTTGTCCAATGAAACCAAAACCGCAACAAAATCAACGAAAAGTAGCAATGTTGCGGATTTCGCACCAAATCTGATTTTGGCCTGTTGGGGAATCCGCTCACAATTCACAGAATGCACAATTTGGCCTATATTTCGACTTTCTCTACTTATGTTTTGACTTTTTCGACCATCAAATAGCATGAATAAATTGACACAAAATTGTAATGTATCCTTTTCAGTTGATTTTTTGATATGATTTTGGATTAGAATATAAACTTTAAAATTCTGTAAAACGTGAAACTCCTCCATTGTAAAATTTCTTGTAAAACGTAAACTCCTCCATTTTAAAACGTAAAATTTTTTATCTAATTGAAAATCCCGACTTTGCTTTTGTGTATTCTACAAATCTGGTCTGAAACTGTTAATGTGAAAATTTATGTTTGCGGAATTTTCGGTAAAATTTGTTTTTTTTTGCCATACGAATCCTTAGATTTCAAAAGCTGAAAAAATTACCTCTTAAATTTTAAATTTGCATTTTTTTTAAGCAAATTTCTGACGAAGGTCTTTTCCGAGCTCAATTTCCAATTTAAATTTAATTAAAATCTTTGGAAAATTTAAAATTGTGAGAAAATTAGATTGTGCTCGATCTATGTTTTGACTGTGCTCGACCTATGTTTCGACTTTTTTGACTAAAGTTAGGTATGTTTCGACTTTTCCGACTTATGTTTCGACTTTTCCGACTTATGTTTTGATTTTTTCAACCGAAATTGGGTATGTTTCGACTTTGAGCTCGATTTAAAATTGCTTCTCGACCGCGGAATTTCAGTCGCAAAAGTGCACTTGCTCGACTTTCAAAGTCGAAACATAAGTCAAGTACCTCGACCCCCGGGGGGGGGGGGGGGGGGGGGTGGAAAAGAGCCGCTGTTTTTTGCAGTCGATAAAAGGACTTCGTTGTTTAGGTTCACAGTGGCGAGCAACAGTGCGTCTTCGGTGGAACAGAGGTGGGAGGTGGCCAGAGATTTGTTGAGTGAGTTCTCTGCCAACTTCGTCACCCCCAACTACCAGGCCTTCTACCTCATGTCCAAACGCATCTTCAAGAAGTTCGGGGTGGTCGAGGCGGTCAGAGTCGACATGGAGGTGAGACGAGGTCTCTTCTGGCATCTCGATAGCTACTCCCTCCTCTCCCCCCACCCCCACCCCTAACGTACACTGTAAAGAATTGCCACCCCCGAAAACGAGCTACTTCAACAGTTATAATATGCGAATTTGGTACCTTGTAACGAGTCCTCCATTTGACCGAGCTACGGGACTTAGGTGCGAGCAACTTTGCGCGACTCAAAAACTTCGGCGCGACTTTGCGCGACCCAAAAAATTTAATTCGCGGATTGGCGCGTCTGAAAAAAAATAGCGCGACTTTGCGCAACTTAAAAAAATTTACCCGCGACTTTGGGCGACCCAAAAAGTTTGTCGAGACTTTGGGCGACCTAAAAACAATAATTCGCGACTTTGTTCAACTGATATCTTTGTCGCAATTTTGCGCGGCCGAAAAAAATAAGCTCGTTTTTGCGCCAAAATAATTTTACAGATGGGGGACTCGTAATTTGTTTCCCAATCTGTTTAGCCCCTTAGGGGTCATAAACATGTTTTCAAAAAACAATCTAAATACATAAAATCAACTAAACTAAGTTAGCCTTCTTTCTAGTGCATTTTGTGGCACACACATCACTAGTGCAACCTAAATCAGGATTGCAATTCTAAAAAATTCTGTTTTAAACCACTTTTAAAAGCAGAAGCGGACTAAGGGGAGGAGGCGGGGGGGGGGGGTGGCGTTTCTCCCGTCTTCTTAGGGATTTGACCCTGACTACACAATGTGTCCCCCTTTGGTACCATTTTAGGACATACAGTTTCGGCCGAACAACTTTAATTTTTCTAAGGGCGCCTTCGGGGCCAATATACACTAATTATAAGGGGAGGGGATGATTTTTTGGTGAAAACCTTCAAACCTTTCAAAACGTGCCAAAAAGGGTCTTTTTTGGCATGTTTTTTCAAAAATTTGCAAAAAAAACTTGGTCAAAACAGGGTCCTTATAGTGATCTGGGAGAGCTCAGAAAACTATTTTTGCTGGCCAAAAAAAATTCCTTATTTTTTTTTTGAAAATCCGCCCCCCTCGTGAAAATCCGAGATCCACTTCTGTTTAATAGTTTTGTTTGCAGTTCAAAACTGGGAATTGTGTAAGCGAATTTTTTAAGAGGACTTGAAACTTGTTCAGTTTTTGTCAGCAGTCATAAACAAGTTTTCTTGGAAGATTACGGAAAATAAACCAAATTACCAAATATGATTATCATAGCGCTGTGAAAGAATTTAATTTGAGAACATGAAACAGAATTCAGAAACAATTTTCCAGAAAAAATACAGAAAAAAAATGAATTTGCAAAAAACGAGAATGAAAAGTTTAGTTGTGTTTTGCTTAGATCAGGATCTAGAATTTTCTCGGGCGGGGGTATGGACGGATTTTCAAAAAAGGTTTGAACATTTTTGTAACACTTCCAAATTAACTTTCCGAGCACTCTCAGAACTCTTTGAAAATTCAATTATGACAAACGTATTTTTTGCCGCCCCTGGTTTAGATAGCGATTCTGGATCAGAATGAGACTGCGTTGGACTTGGGACTTCCGGATGGGCGAGAGGGGGACCAGTATGAGCATCTGGAACTGTACTACCAGTGGAAGGACGGAAACTACATGGAAGGCGACAAGTAAGCCCACTCAAAACAAAAAACCTTTTTTGATTGATATTTTACTAAACAATCTATGGGTAGGACCTTAAAGAAAACAAGGAATATTTATGATAGCCACTGTTTTCTCTCAATACAATTTTTGAATTAAAATAATGAGTTCGAGCAATTTTTCCCTGCATCTTGAACTTATAGTAAATTTCTTGTACCGCGCCGAGTTCTGCAAATTAACGTCGACCATATAACAAAAATCACAATATAATTGGGCTGTAAACTTTGTATTACTAGGCAGGATTGCCTATATGTGAAAGAACTATACTCAATTTCCTCAACTCTAAATTAGCTGAGATGCCCACAAAAAGTATTCCTTGTTTTCTTTAAAAGGGGGCCCAAAATAGGGTGAACTTGTCTTTTAATTAAACTTAGGACGCCAAGCTCGGTTTTATAAAAAAGTAAGAACATATTTGTGTTTTTACGCGTCTTGATTCGACAGACACATCTTTTGCGTGTCTTAGAGACTTTTGTCAGTAAATTCCACAAAAAACTCATCCCTACAAAAATTCCGAGAAATTTCTTGCCGGTGAATTTCGGAGACAAACGTGTTTTGCCATTGAAGTGGATTCCATTGAAAATTTCTGGATTTCACATTTCCTCTTGGGACTTCGTGGTCAAATTATTATTATTTTGTTGTTGAATTTCACCGTTTTTCTTTGGATTCCACAGTCAATTTGTTCTTTTTTGTCGCTAGACTCCCAAGCACATTTTAAACTGTTTATACAAATATCGGACCCAGTTTTTCTTCCTTTCAATTACAGAATATTTATTGAATTGATTCGTTCTAACTTTAAATGTAGTTCTTTCTAATGTAAAATTCATATAGCGAATTACATTTGCAAATGAGACAATTATACTGCTCAATATGTCCCGCAAAAGAGACATAAGTCCCCCACTTTATCTCTGCTCTTTTTCGCTATTGAGACAAGTGCCTCATGTTACCCCCTTCTCCTCTCATCCTTTACTACACTTGCCTTAAAAGCTGCAGGGTAGTATCAAGGATAATTAACCGAGCGGCAAAAATTCATCCCATCAAAACGATAATTATGTGGAAACCAATGACCACCTTAATAATTATAATAAGCATATGATCCACCTTATCAAAGATTTTTTATAAAGTTTTATTTTATTAAGACTTTTTTCCTGAGACATTTTTCTTTTCGCATTTTGCCTCTTTGCATTACTTTGCTGTGTTTGAACTGTAGTTCAAGCCCTCTCATGATATCAAAGATCAGCTTGAAAAAAGACCGCCGCCGATGAACTTTCAAACTAACCCCACTAGGACATTTAGGAGATGTAGGAGTTAAATATAAACCAAGTAAAGCAACCAAAATGAATGGCTACAAATAACATATGATACTTAAGTAATCATTTGCAAGTTGCGGTTAAAAGTGAAGTGAGTACATTAGGGAAACGGAAAACAAAATAAACAACAGGTCAAAAAACTCAGAGTTACTACTGTTTAAATTTTGAAAACCGGCACTAACTATATGGAACCTGTGATCCAAAAAATTTTTTTTAGTAAACAGCCCAAAGTCTCGTAATATTTTAATTTGTAGCAAGTATTTTCAATCTTAATTTGTAACAACAAATTTGGCCCCGACTGATTAAAAAATTCAAAGTGTATTTAATGTGCACAAAATCAGTAAACTTTTATTTAAAAAAAATAGAAAAACATAGATTTCTGATGAAGGCATAGAAAAATCTTCGATTCCAGTTTGAGGACTTTTAAGCATAATAGAAGTAGCCCTGACTCGCTGTTGCCAAATAATTGATATAAATATCTCGACATAACTCTCCATTGCATATCGACAACCTGGCACCAAAATTTTTGAATCACAAATTATTGTTTTTGAAAAAGCGGAGAGTTTTGATGAACCTGTTCTTCTCGCCTGCTAGTGCTGGTAAAAATCCAAATTCTGAAAAAGAAAGAAATCACAGAACTGGAGACATCCCTAAACTTGTTTTTTTTTGTCAATAGGAACCTGTCACACTTGGATTCACCGCTGATTCCAGTCTCTCATCTCGGTTGCCAGTGAGATTGGAAAAAAATTACCTTTTTTGCATGCAATCAACCGCTCCTTTGAGTAAAAAAATGCAAAAAACGTCTATTTGATCGTTCCATTTTTTCGAAGTCAAATTTTTTTATCTAATAACTAAACAACTTGAAAACCAAGCACTCAGGAAAACTTAAAAAAATCCAAGTTAATTATGTTAGATACTAATTTTAAAAAAACTTTCATTTTCAGAGTGGCCAAAATTACAGATAATTAGACTGTTGTTTCCTCATTATTCGATAAAAAAATTAGTAGAAAGTAAAACTTTTCACTCCGTTGAAATCTAGATGAGTCGCTTAGCATTTTAGTCCGGCATGCGAAGTTGTAGAAACACTTGATCAATTGAGACAATTACTCCTCCCCTCTCCAAGCAGTTTTCAGCATTAGGGACAACTAGCCCCTACAACGCACTTCATCGTTCAAACTATGTGAGTTAGGACCGATGGGTATAACTCATAGAGTAATTTCGGATAGGGTACACCGTCTGCTCGTCACGCTATCTTATTTTCGGCCGGATAGATTCGTGCAACTTCTTAGTCTTATACCGATCCTAATCTTACTCTTATACTATCTAGTCTCAGGTTGTTTAACTAGTCTCTGCTAGGCTCAATAGATCTAGGGTATACTGGTTTATTGCGGCTGCTGAAATACTCGGGAGAGTCCAACTAATTTCTAAGTTAAATTCAAATCTCTCTGGTGCTGAAATTACAAGTAATTTCAGCACTTACAAATAAGTGTGTTGTTAGTTAGATGAATCATGATTGGTTAATATTAAATACTTTAAATTGGTAAAATATCTAAATTATCCAATCATAAAATGTAGTTTAGATCAGGTTCCACCCATCCGGGTTTTACAGAGTTTTTTAGAATAGTTCTTCTGCTATTCGAAGGATGGATGATGGACGTTGGTATTTGGCGAACATCATAATTTTCTTCCGTTTTCTCTTTGTTAGAGAAGTTCCAGGAAGCTGGAGATAGGGACATAAGACGTTGTGTCTTCTTGTGACAACGACTGAGTCTCCGCAACAAACTCAAATCTGATTTCAGACTGGTTGGCTATGTCAGGTTTTTCTGTTCTTCGTGGAGAACTTCTTTTGTGTCTGATCTAGTTTGGGAATGGCGTGGAGATTGTGCGTGGAGGGGATGCCTAGTTACTCGGATCTGTACGTATACTTGAACATCGAGGTGGTCATTGGTCTAGTTCAATGAAGTCCTTTTCTGCGAAGTCAAGTCGTACTCTAAATCCTTTGAGTTGTGATTGTGAGCGGCATATCGATTGTAGTTGGCCATTCTTTCTCGAGTGTAGTGAGATCGTTTTGTCTTTAGATGTTCGTCCTTGGTGTTGTGTTCTGATCTATGTATTGCATAATATAATTTACATTTTATAAAACTTTTATTAGTTTAATATTTTTTAATTATGATTTTAGTTAGTTGTTTTCACAAAAGCTTTTTGTTTTAGTTCGGTTATTTTGAAGAGTTACTCACCCTTGAGTAGCTCTTATTAAAAATAGTGGTGTGTGTCACAAAGCGTGGATGTAGCGCGGTGGGTTAGGCCGGCTATAGAGCATGCTCAGGACGTCCTTCCTGGTGTGTTAGGCCAGGAGTGGGAGTATGATTTCATGCGGTTTTTGTGAGGGGTCCTGTTATGTGACAACGTTTTATGTTGGGTTTGTTGTGGTTTTTCTTATGTCTTGTTGGTTGTGTCCTTTTTTCAAAAATCAAATTGTTTGTGGTATGGGTTCGTCTTTCGACTTTTTTGTGTTTTATTATTTCTTTCTGAGACTTTATAATAGTCTTCAAAAGAATAATTTATCCAATTTTAAACTGGGTTAATCCGGTTTGGGTACCGTTGGTTTCCTTTTCTTAGTCATGCTGTTATTCTATGATTTGTGGTGTTTAGTAAGCTGCGTTGGTTAGTGTTGTTTAGTATATAATTCCTTTCCAACCGGGTTAAAGGAAAGTTTGAAACGTGTTATCTTGTGTTAGAGTTGTTGAGTGTGAAAACTTGAAACTGAAATTCATTATTTTAAACAATTCTTCGTGGGCGAGCTGTGCGAGTGTGGATAGAATTTCTGTGCGAATGAATGTAAATATCAAAAGGTTAGTACTGCATTTTCGTTTTATCAATTTACTACATAGAATTTTAAAATTTACTGCTAGTTATGGGGGAAAATTAAGTTACAAATTTTGATCATAATTAGATTTACTGCTTGTGGGGGAAGAATTTTATAAATGAATTTACTGCATTTGTATTAAATTTATTCAATTTGTTGGTGCAAAAGATTAATATAATTTGAAATAGTTTGAAAAAGTTTTCGATTTTTTATTTTTCTTTTTGTGAATTTTTTAGATGATTGTCGGATGAAGGCTAAAAATCTAAAGAAAACATGGATAAAGAATGGTGATTTTCTAATATTTTAATTAGTTAGTAATATGTATAATTCATACTTACCTGTTAGTCGTCGGGGAAAAAACCATGGGGGAAGATGTCGTGGATGAGATCGGAAGTTGTTAGTAGTTTAGCTAAGATGCGGATGATATTTTTAGTCTGAAGCAGTGGCCAAAGCAATTGAAGTGCTTTAATTGTGGTTAGTTCTTCAGTGCCAACTGCAAACTCATAAGGTGTGTTTTGGATTAGAATATATAATTTGTGATTGAATTAATGTTGTGGATGAATTCTAAAATGGGGATTTCTATAGGTTGTACAAACTCGTGTGGGATAAGGAAGGGTCGGGATTCTTCGGCGTTGAGGGTCTTGGTGATGGGGCAAAAGATATACATTTGGGTTATGGGATCATAATTTCGAAGAATACCATGAAGGTTAGTATCCTTAATGCAATATGTGAAGTTTAGAAAAAATGGTGAAGTGTATTTGGAATTAATGAATTGAAAACGATGGTGTGGTTGTCT